ATATAATTTGAGTTGAGATTATTTTGAAAATTGATGAAAGTAATCGCAGAAAAAAAATGTTCACCCAAAAGCACCTACGAAAAATTATATTTCGTCTTATTAAGTTCTATACTAATCGATGACCCAGACATCACTCTGTCGAATGGTGAAAGGCGCAGGTATACATCTTGTGCTCAAAGTAAGTTATTCAAAAAATGGCAACCTGTCTTTTATTTTGAAAAGCACAATACAATGCTTAATCATTGTTTGATTTGATTTCAATACCATAACTTGATATCAATGTGATATACTAAGATGTATGAAGTGTGAGCATTTCGTACGAGTAATTTTTGGACATCAGTAAAAATTGTTGAGTTTATGAAAAAAACCTTGAAGAACTCAAAAAACACAACACCAGCTAATAAAAAATTTTCTATGGGACCGAACTGGCCATTCGGTGTTATCCATTACAACTCTAGTGGTGTTTACTGACGAGATGAATATGAGCATTTAATCAAAATGAGCTCATAGTGGAAGAAAAAAATAAAATAAAATGAAAAGAAAGGAATTATAAGACCATAATTGCAACTGAAGACCAACGATAATAACGAAGTATATGAGAAAATACAACCGATAATATATTCATAGAATAGAAAATAGAAAATGTTTAGATTAGAGAGTCCTTAGTTTACAGAATTCCTTGTCTAAATTAATTTTTACTTTTATATGTGTATAACAAAAATAAAAAAGGAATAAAATGAAAGTAACTACTATTGCTCTTGTTTGTACATGCTAATACATTCATCCAAACACCTTGAAGTTGATTCGATTGAGGTTTCTCACTTAATGGGTCCAAAATGAAGTAATGAAGAAAGTATGCATAAGAAACAAGATTGAAAATTTAAAGTCAGAAAAAGAGAAATTTCAATAATCAATTCGATAAGACTAAAAGAGAGAATAATTGATGGCTACATCTGGAATTAGAATATATATAGACAAGACTAAGACGAGCAACTTTCTAATAATCGTGCAACAAATAAGCGAAGCGCTTTTTCTTTTTTGACAAGTAGCATCAAGGGACTTTGTCTTTTGCAGTTAAACCCACAACACAGTACTTTTTCAAAATGGCTAGTACCTTTCATACTTTGCTTTTATTTGAGATACTTAATAATGGAAACATGGGTTATATCATACTTTAGTCTTGGCCATTTTTATGTTGCGTATTTTGTTAGTATTATTAGCTACCATCATCTATGTGATGGATACTATACTAATTACAACCTTCTGTTATAATGAATCAGCAGAGAGTGTCGTTTATTATTGTTTCGTACAAATATTAGTAAGGTCTAATCAATCCTGAAAATATATGGACCTTGATCAACGACTTGGTCATAAAAAATCTGCACATAACGCATTGAGAAATGGGTATTAAAAAAGCTAAACATATTCGTTGCATCAGTCAACAGATCATTATTTGATATTAACTACCTAGTCTGTATTTCAAAATTCTAAATATTTTTAATTACTTTTATCAAAGAAAATTCTTTTCAACCGATAAATGAACGACTTTAATCATATAATATTGTTTATTATCACAACGTTTACTTATTGTTGACTTGATCTTTTATTTCCATTTTAACATCCACATCTATTCTCGCGGTTTCTACTATCTAAAAGTGTAAATTGATGTTGGTCTGCAAGAGTAATAAGTTAACTTTACATGCATACAGGTATACTCCCATTGTTCTGACTAAAGACTGCACGAAGATCTTATAACTCAATCAATCAACATCAGAAACAAAAGATAATTTGTCCGTTATTGTCTTTCTATTATCGACATTTAGGTACTTTTCCGCTTTTGAGTATAGCTGACTTCATAGAGAATTATAATCTAGTAAACAGAAAATCTATTTAATCTTTTATGGTTTACTAATATTATTCAGCACAAAATATGATTTCTTTATAATAACGAAATAGATTAAATTAATTGTATACGTTTAAACATTGGTATTCAAGAAAGAATTGAGTCCAAATGAATTCTTCTTTGTCAATATAATAGGAATGTCCTCTATTTTCCAACGCATCGATAGTTACTGGACAATGTGCCATTTCGAATAAATTCTTTGCTTTTAGACAACTTTCTTTTTAAGCATTGTCGGTACCTGTTAGAATATAAGTTGGTGATGGAGCAATAATGTCTCGAGGTCGTAACGTTTTCTATTCATTATATTGACCACCAAAACTACCACATTGATTACAAAGAGCAGCAAATGTTTGTTTACCATAATGTATAGCAACATTTGAACTAAACAAAGCTCCATTAGAATAACTCATAAAGTAGATACGATCTATACGCAATAAATTATCATATTTATTCTTCATATAATTTAATAGACAATCAAGATATTCAAAATCATCTTTAGGTCGTTCTATTTCTCACTATAGATCACCAAAACCAAGTTGACCATATTAATTACGTTGAGGTGCATATCCATAGAAAGTACCTTGACCTTTACTAAACACGACTAAAAAATTGTTTTTAACGGATAGTTGCAACCAACCAATTTGAACAAGTGCACCATGCCAAGCGCATGAATTTAGACCATGATAAAAAAATCAGTAAAGGCATAGATTTTTGTTTCGTATTATTTATAAATGGTTCATATACGACAAAGAAACGTTGATTAGATATATCAACTTGTAATGTACGATTCAATTCACTAAAATATTCTTTTGTTGTTTATTGACTTATATTCCATGTCCATTTTGCTTTGTTAACTTATTCATCATTGGAATCATTTCGTAATAGACGACAATTTTCATAAAATCCATTACCATCTGTTGTTTTAGTTGATGTAAAATTTACTGATGTAAAATAATCTAACCAATTCATCTATGACATTTTTCATTCATTTTGTAATTTTCGTTTTTCGTTGTTGACAGGGAAAAAAATTACACAATTGTCTGAGTTATTTTGTTGTTATTGCAACACATATAGGTAAAATAGAAATTATATTTACACAAATTGTTTTGAGATGAAAAAAAAATTTTTTTTTTAAATATTTATCTAATAGGATGTCTTAATCTTACTTCTAATAAATGTATGATTTATTTTATTTAATACAAATTCGTACTCGGTTAAATATAATAAAACTGATCAAACATCGTTTAGTCTATTTCGTTATTTACAAATAACTAGAATTAGAATACTTATCAACAAAAGACAAGAATATGCAGCTATAGATTGCCCATTATTATACCAAAAATTACCACCAGTTGCATACCATCCTTGACTGCTTTGTGGATAACGATTGAAAGGTTGGTTATAATAATTATTTCTGTTTGGTCTTTGCCAAGCATTGTTGTTATTGTACAAATAGTTTTTCTGTTGTTGTTGTTGTTGTTGTACATTTGGTTTGATAAGATCTTTATTTATATTAGAGCTAGGACTATAACTTATCGGTAAAATACCATCTCTATTTGGACGATTTTGAATCGATATAAATGAATCATAGTGTGGACCAGCTCTAGTGCCTGTATATAAATAAATAAAAGAATTATTATTCACCGAAATTTATACTCACCATAATAGTAGGTACCTGAAATAGAACCAGTTAGACTGTTCAATCCAGCTGACATCCCTTGATGATAGAAAGGATCGTTATTTTTTGGTGAATTTGTTTGATGACGATAAATATATTGAGGTAATGCACTTATTGTTTCAAAAAATGTAACAATAAAAAAGAGTAAACATCTATTACAGATCATTTTTCTTTGTATGCATATGCCAATGTATATGTGGGGTCAGGTCACTTTAAGACTTGCTTCGTCTTTTTTGTCATACTGGCGATGAGAGATAAAAAAAAAGTAACAGCTTTTCATTGTCTTTTTTTTCTTTCTTTTTGTATGTATAGACCCATTGTGTTATAAATTTTTTTACTGGCGAGAAAAATTACAGAACAACGTTCAAAGGTGAAGAGAAAAAAATGAACTGTATAGTTATGTCATCAATGTCTTGCCACTATTCCTCTTAGAAGAAAGACACACATGTCTCAAACGTTTTTTCTTATAGGCTGTACCACCCAAAATAAATTTTAAGTAGAAATGAAGTATTGTGAACGAATAAAAAAAATGCTTAAAGTGCAAACGACAATAATGAGTATTATACTTATTCAATAATATGTATATTTTAATCATGTTTTCTTATAGAGATTGTGATATAAAGACTAATCGATAGGCTATTGTGTTTCTCAGAAATATCTTCGTAAACAAAATCATTATTGTTAGTCATTTGAAAATACGTGTACACCGTAGTTTACATTGAATTCATCTTCACATATGATGCTTCAATGTAGCATAAAATTATTCTCTAAGCAATTTGTACCAACACATAAGACAATGAAAAACTCATGAATTATCTTAAAAAAATCCATATTATTATCAATAACTTTCTATTGTTCTTATGGCTTTGACAATCGCAATTTTGTTCAATCAGATTTGAATCTTAATGACAGTTTAGATTGAAATAACTCATTTTAGTATTTCTTTTGACTTAGTTCGTCATGCTTTTTCTATTGCTAATCGTGATTACAATTGATCGACAGAGCATCATGCAGTAGTTGAATTTTTAAAATACCGATTTGAAATTTTTTTTTTTAAAGAATTACTTTCAATTAGCTTATTGCTTATATCTTAGCCAATGAAAAGAAAAAACAAAACAATATATCAGATTTTATTGAGCTCAATCAGTTTTTGAACATATCGTACTAATATACGTTGTGATCCTAATGTAATTGATTTAGTTCCTTTACACATATTCATTTGATCATCACGTAATGTTGGTGAACAGTCTTTTGTATGAAATATATGCATTAAACTATTATCAATTGCTCGAAAAACATTTAAAGTTGGACATTGTACTAATTTATCATAAATTTCTACATCTTCTTTTCCCCATCCACTTATTCCAACATTCCAACTACCAATTTGTCCCAAATCAACTTTATATATTCCAAGCATACCAAAGCCATATAGGCGCCAATAACCAATATCACCACGAAGAGTAAATGAAGAAAAATTTAATGAAGATTGTATTGTTTCCCAATAATTTGGATCATATTGACTAAATATAATCGGAAAATAAACTTGTTTATTTAAGATCGTATGATAACGTATACGTGGAAATAAATCACGAGTAAAAACCATATCAAGATCAATAAAAAATAAAAGATCTGTATCATTAAAACGAGATGCACCATATGAACGTGCATAACCTCGTGTAAAATTTCCATTTTCAACTTCAATTAAATGTATACGTGATGATTGATATTTTTGAACAAATTTTTTTATATAATTAGCAAGTGTTGACATACGTTCACCACTATCTTCTGCTGTTTCCATTAATATTATATAAATATGTACGTTAAGAAGATCAGAATCATTAGAACACATCACGATATGATCAAAATTTGTTAACAATCGTTTAAGAGTAGGAAGACGTCCACTAACAGGTACAATCATATGAATAGGAACAGGTAGAGAAGGTAAAATTATAGTCGTATTCGTATTAGTGATCACCGGTGAAATAGAATTAACAAAATTAGGAGAACCAGCTCCAACAGGAGATAATATTGCACTTGAATATGATGAAAAAAGTTCATGAAAATATAATGGACGAAATTTTTGCACAACATAAACACGTTTTCGTACAGGTACCTAAAAACGAATAACAATTCAAATGATTATCAAAAACAAAAATTTTGTTTTCTTTAAGGGCCCTCCCCCCCCCCCCCCCTCAGAAACGAACTTTGTTGTTTTCTCATCCGATTTCAATCAAAATTTCAGAGAATGGTAGTCTTGACTAGAATAGCTTATGGTTAAAATATCTCCCCCAAATCTCAAAGATATGCACAAGTTCCAGTCAATTCATTACCCTTTACGCGGGGAAGGTTTTCACAATGGGGTTACTAGCTAATCATGTCGGGGTGGTTTTTAAATTGTAGAGTGACCTTAGGGCTAGATCCTCACAGGCTCCGATTTTTGAATTTTCCTTTGTTTGATTTTTAAAAATACTTTTTCGAAAAATGTTCAAATTCAAAGTGCTAATAAATATGAAATATCTGAGTTTTTTATTTCAGCAAAAGAGAAATTCAAAAATCGGAGCCTGTGAGGATCTAGCCCTAACTGTCCTCTATTCAACAAAAAAAAAATTATCCCTTCTCTATTGAATCATTATTAAGAAATCCTTTCCCGCGTAAATGGTAAACTCGAAAAAATTGATTTTGAGAAAAACGAAAAACAAATTTAGAAATGGATTTTTTGATTCAAGCTCAAAAAACAACATATGAAAATAGCATATTTCAGAATTTTGTCGATTTTTAAAACAAAAAGTGCAACTATAAAATAAGTGGCATTATACAAATTGTAGAGCTTTTCACGCTGCATCTTCTGGTATATTTTGTTTTTTTTTAATACAATGTATTAAAATAGAAAAGCAACGTTTTTTCGTTTTTGAAAGACTTCCGAAAATGTCTCGAAAAACATGATAGTAGGTCCTCAATCTCCTTTGGTAAGTTTATTAAAACCTGGCCTTTTTGGAAAAAAAGCATGTATTTTCTGAAAGAGGAGGCTTCGGCGCATCTTCCTATGATAAAATCTCAACTTCGAGTTTTCTTCGAAAAAATAGGTTTGCTGAGAGGGGGCCCCCCTTAGGAAGATAAAGAAACAAATGTCTATTAAATTTTCTAATTTGAAATTTTAGTTTTATACAAATAAAGAAACGCTCATTTATTCATCCATCAAAATATTTACTAACTCACCGACATTTTTCTGCCCATATATTTTCGATAAATAAGATACAAATCTAGAATATAACTCATTCCATGTCTTGGTTCATATTTATAATAACCATATAAAGTTTTTTTATATTCTAAAAATCGACCCATATTTCTTGAAATTTTATTAACTGCTTCCATATATGTTCGAACAACTTCATCAAAACATTGTTTATATGCTGGTTCAATTGATCGAACAGGTAATTCTGTATTAGCTGAATATTGACTAGCAGTAAATAATGTATAGATAGCAGAACTATGTTTTTTTGCTTGTAAAGACGTTTTCGTATGCGTATAATTATTAGACATTGACTGAATTGAATCGTATACAAAAGAAAAAGTTAAATCATTTGATGATGGAAGAGATTCATTAAAATATATTTGTAAAGCATTCCATAATAGACGATCTAAATTTATTTAACAAAAAAATAAATAAATTCATTTTTTTAAATTATTATATGATTTTATACTTATAGGCAATTGTTGATCATCGTCAATTTTAAATAAACGATATGCATTATTATATAATGTCATCAATTGTTCAGCAATGTGTTGATTCGGTATATTTAATTGTTTATACATTTGTTTTAATTTTTTTTGCATATGTTCATTTTTAGTTTTTTGCATTAATTGAACAAGTTTTTTTATTAGTAACTTGATCTGATTTTCTATATTAAGAATTGTATCATAAATATTTATTTGTCGACGTAGTAACATATTATGTTGTTCAAGTTCAATAATTCGTCGTTGTAAAGCAAAGTTATGTACACGCGTAAATACACGTACATCTTTTATTGAATGTAGACTAACGGCACGTAAAATATCTGTTGATACTAAATTTCGTGCTTTATAACCTTCAGTTTTATTTGGATGATTATATAAAATATGTTGCATTTCATAAGACCATGTGCATGATGTATTTGCATATTTATGTACACATCGCCCAAGTTCAACATCTTCATGATAAGTATAAAAATTTTTTAAACATTGTTTTATATGTGGAGTAAATCTAGCTAAAGTTTCACGAGATAATATTATACCAGGTCCACCCATACAGAAGTTTTCATTTTCGGCTAACGCTAATTTACCAAATTCTTCTTTCGTTCCCATACCGGGTTGTCCGATATAATATGGTTTACCTAAACAATAAAATAAAACAAACGAAAATGATATTTTAAATTAAAAAAAAAAATCGTACGATTATCAATAGAACGAAGTAATCGTTCTAAATTATCTGTTCTTATATAAACATCATCATCAACACGCATAAACCATTCAAATTTATTTAAATAATGATCGTAAATATATTTCATCATAAGAAATGATTTTTTCTGTGGTGGATATGTATCTGTAACTGATGGTAAACTAACAAGATTAATATTTGAATCATTTGTTGTTGAACCTTCACTTGAAAAAAATATAACTTGTCCAGGTACATTTCCTGCCCATGTACGCATAACAGTTGGTGCACGTGTTGTTAAAAAATCTTTACTTGTCATAATAGCAACGAGAATTAATTGTTTGTTTTGTAATACACGGGGTACATTAATTGATGAAATAAGTAATGAATTTACTCGATTACTATCATGTAAACCATTGGAATCTTGTTCTAAAGATAAATCATTAGTTATACATCGTTTAATATTACAAAGAAAAATAAGACCAAATTGAAAACCAATAGCAACAGATATAAGTAATAATATTAATGATAACCACCATGTTGGACCACGAATATTACTCGTAATACGATTATTAACTGGAACTGGGAACGAATTACGTGGGGTCTTTTTTTTTGTTGGTGTCAATGGAAAAATATTAATTGAATCCTTAAAAAGAAAAGGAATTCATTTTCCTATCTATTTTTTGTTTTAAAAGAATAAGTTGAATTTCCTGATATTTTAAACAATAATGCATACTACCTATTTATTATTGCTTTTATTAAAATATTTTTCATTGGCTGCAACTACAAAAGATTACTTTTCTTATAATTCTAAGTGACATGTACAAAAGGGTTCAAATTTTTTTAATAATTATTCATTAAAGAAACAGTGACCTTGTTTACTGCAGATCATGCGTCTTTTTTTTTGAGCCATATCGAAAAACGATGGAAGAATTAACGTACCAACGAGATTAAATGTGAATTTGCAAGGATATATAAAACAAAAACGAAAGTATTTTCTTTTCAAATGTTAAGTCTTTACTAACCTCATTCATTGAAGTTAGAAGAAAAGAAAAGATTATTTTCTTTTAATCATTAACAATAGAAATAGGACACTTCATAAAAAAAATACTTTATAAGCAAAGTAATTATTGATTAGTTACTTATAACTGCGATTATACTTTTAGCTTAATTTGTCAAGCCAATCATGACCTAGATTTCTCAGTATTAAAAACGAATGATCATGCCATTACAATATAATAGTTACGATAATGGAATAAATGCTTAAATAATTGAGAAAACTCTTAGAATCAATGGTTAAAATAACTATAGAAATAAACAGACTTGAAAAAAAATGAAATGTTTTTTATAATCATGACTTATAAAAAAAAACAAAAAACTAAATAACAAACTTACAACAGATACTTGTGGTAATGCAACTGAACAGTATGTACTATTTTTATGATTGCAAAAAATATGTACTTCTTGTGTATCAGATAACTGATGATACGATCTAGATTGATATTGTTGTTTGTTGATGATAGATTTCATGAAGTTTTCCATTATTTCAAAAATTCTTGAAAGAACCATGAAAATTTGTGTTTTTTTGTAAAAATGAGAAAGTTAAAAACTAAGTTTGAGTTGTTAGAGAAAAAGAAAATAATCGTTGATAATATCGTTTCATTGAGACGAAATTTTATAATTTGAATAGATTAAATAGAATATATATAAAAATATATTGATATATATTAACCATAGATGGGTGGTCGTATTCATTCATAGAATATAATACATCACGACATGATGGCTTATCAAAATTATTCATATACGAATAACACCAAAAAAAAATGAATAGGAGCACGTTATAATATGCAGGTTGATCAATACAAGAGAAAAGACGACAGAAACAATTCAAAAGAAAAATTGCACCTGTTTTAAAGCTTATTAAGATGAAAGTTTACTTTCAATTCACTCTTATATGTACGTGTATTCGGAATTGCTGATGAACAAGTGAAAGAGACAACAAACATAAATTTGTAATAGACAAAAGGACAGGCACAGAAAATAATTCATCTCTCGTTAAATAAATACAGATAAAACTTAAGAAGACCTAACAGTTGAGAAGGAATAGCAAATATAAAGTTCAAAAGCGAAAGTAAATATAAGAAATAAGTCAACAAGAAATAATCTATAATCTGCTTTATAGTGGTAAATAAAACACATTTAATGTTTCAAATCTTATTTTTCTTTTGATTGATAATCAATAAACTATGTAACCAACGCCTTATCATCAAGTTGATTTTTGTGAAACACAATCTAAAAGGAGTGTTGAAGTATATAGAGATAGAAACTTCGACCTCCACAGATCGTGACAGACGTTGTTGATATACGATCAAAGACCGTATGTCACTAATATCTCAATAGGATATATGAACTAGTTCCGTGTTGCAGTTCTAGAGAATCAATTAAAAAATGATAAAGAAATATGTCCCAAAATAAATTGAATAAAACAATTTTCATGTGATTACCAACAACAGTTATATCGAGTTTCACTTTTTCATCTTTTAGTACATGTGACATAATATTTACAATCGTTCACTTTTCACGGTACAAATCATATTTATGATAGTTCACTTAAAATCTTGACAAAAATGTGAAGTACTCTCAAATGTATTAAAGAACAAAACATCATCATCATTTGATGTGTATTACAAACATCATTTATTCGTTGTTCATTTCTTTTGTAAGTATGCTTCTTAGAGTACATTTTACTACTAATCGAAAATAAAATACAAAAGAATCACTTCATAAGAAGTGACAAAAAAAAACTGGCGTAAAATATGTTTAAAAGAACATCTTAGATTACAGAGAAATAACCAAAATAAACTCAGTATTAAAGAAAAAAAAAACCTATAGTATACTTTAAGAATACAATATATGTATATAACAAACGCAAACCTGTTTGACAATGCTTGACGTAGGTTTTAATGTAGAGGTAACAATTACATTGTTGAATTTGTCTATTTTTCGAACAAATTTTGCCATACCATATTCATGAAGACATGATGCGTCGTTCTAAAAGATATACAACAAAATAAATCAAAATGTCGAAGATAATTACGAGAATCGCTTATTACTATATAGCATATAGAAGAAATGATACCTATTATCTGTTCTTTCCTTTGCAAGACATACAACATATAATATAAACAAATTTTTTTCACATTTCCAGATAATAAATATCAGTCGATCGTGACGAGTTGTAATTGCTTTAGTATATTATTGAAGAATAATACTACGTTTTGATGGAAGCTGTCTCACAAAATACTATGATTATTTATTATACACTTACTATTCTATTATCTGCTATTGGTGATTTTCAAGTATGATATTATCGTTTTCTTCGTAAATGACAATAATAGAAAGATATAAATCTTTCTAACACTAGTTTAATGTCGTTCTTCAAACATGCTTCTATAGTGATTATTTTGTTGATTTTTGTTTGACAGTTCTACAATTTCATTTAAAAACTATTGTTTTTTTCTTTTTTTCACTACTCAATCATTCCTTTTTTTTTTAAACGTCATTATCATAATTCGATGTATAAAAATTTAAGTATATTTCTTTCTATCGACGTTAACAAAAAAATTTTGTTATTTTAACAAAAGAAAAAGAAACCATAGTAAAATGAAAATGACGAACAAGAAATATGAATATGATGAATATTTAACAATTGTAGAAAAGTTTTTGTTAATTAAAAATCGATAAGAATTTTTTTCTTAAAATTAAAACTCAAGATTTTTTCAAAATACTTTAATTGTTGAATCACAGTAGGTGTGGTTCTATTCTTATCGTTTAAACAAATGCAAATGAAACTCGGGTCTCTTTGATATAGAACCAATTGATCTTAATCATGAGTTTTACTTTTCAATTATTAACATCTAATCTCCAATGATGTCATGAGAAAAAACTTGTAGAGAGTGGTTAAGTTCTGCTGACCATATCTACAGTTCTTTTATAGCGGAACTAAATCGTTTGTAGGATAGAAACTGAGTCCTCTGTAAACTCTATCTGATTACATTACTACTAATTTCGTTTTGCTTTCTGTTGAATACGAAACAAAAAGGGAAATGATTCTAATTGTCAATAGATGTCACTAGTAAAAGATTAAAATTATACAGGCTTAATCGCCACTACGTTGTTCCTAGAATGTGTTTCTAATTAAAGAACAAAATATACCTTAAATAATTCGTATAGATCATTTTTCTAAGTGGATAATAGCTTGTTAAACTAGGCATTATAAAAATAAGAAGACAATAAAAAGCCTGTCAACTTATTGTGTACACAAAAAAACATTTTTTTACATAGATTTTTCATGTATGTGTGTTCGTTCTAAATTCTTACCTATTCAAACTACTGATCGATAATGGTGACATTTAGTAATAAAATATCTAATAATATAGTAACAGAAAAAAATAAGATATTGTATAATGAAAGCAAATATAATATCATAATAATAAAAAAACAGAAATATTTTGTTTTTGTCTCTTCAATGTAGAATGAATTTAGATGACGATTGTAAAAAAATATGTTGAATGTATATCTAGAGACGATAAAAAAAAATATATATATAATTAAGTGAAAAATAAAATTTGAAGAATATGAGTACAGACATATAGTAAAAAATAAATGAAATCCGACAAAAGTAACATTGTGCTTGGAAGCTGCTTCAATACCCTATTAATTTGAATTATTTAACATTTTCAAACAGCTGTTTGATTCAGTTAAAAGAAAAAGAAAATCTTGTGATCGATATAACAATGATCAATATCTTTACATAACAGTTGAAAAGAAATGTTAATTACGCTGACTACATTTACATAAATACACCCACATACTCGAGATTTAGACAATCTATTAAACATATTTACAAAAAAAATCAAAACTCAGTTTTATTACATAGACAGCTTTTTTTTATCCTTCAATTTTCAGACTCATTTATGCTTTCGTCATCACAGTCGACTGCTTTATTTACCTAAGTATACCCTTAAGCTGCATCTCATTACCATATTTTTTTTTGCTATTAATTTTTTTCGTTCGATTCAAATACAACCTATAGCTGATCTGTGACCTGATTTCGTTTTAAAATTTATTTATTCAATGTAAGAAATAGATATTTTAGTTGAACGGTTTCTATTTTTATTATTGAACCATTTTATTCCATTAATAAGATTACGAATATTTTCATTGCATAGTTTAGATGTGCACTTTTTATCTTAAACAATACTTCTTCAATCTTTTCATATGCATATTCGAACTTTTCGTAAGGAATAATTAAAATAAAAAAGTCGATATATCATATACATATGAATAAAACACTTTATATATATTGAGATGCATTAATACTATTGACTAATTCACATTTTGAATTATTATTTCAATGCTAGGATTATTAACATAAAGCTAAAATGATAATCGTGAAATTTACCAAGCATCTTTTTTTTTTTTGTTAAACTCAATAACGAAAATGATTTTTATTAGTATACAAAAATGAGTACTCTGTTCTATCATTCTTCTATTTATGTCAATAGAACATAAACTTTTCGTTCTTTCATATTAGTTTATTTTACAAAAACAAACCGAAGGTCGCTGAAAAATGTATGTAGAAAGTATAGAGCAATTACATGTGATGAAATACACTTGTAAAAAAAAGAAATTCAAAGAATAATAATAATTCAATACAAAATGTAAAAACAAATACAGTAATCTCACTACATGTCAATGTCTGTATGAAGTTTTGTTTATTTTTGTTATTATGCGTATATTAATAAAAGCTGTTGTTTTCACGGGGTAATCAACTAGATTGACTTAACTGTTTTTCTAATCAATCATACATGCGTGACATGAGGTTTACGAAGAAGATTTGTCGATGAATTTCGTTGTGGTGGTTGTGGTTTCAAACCTAGTCGTGGGATACTTGATTTACGTGGTGGAATAGGTGGAACAGGCCTGTTATTAGCAGCTATTGTTGTATTCTTGCTATTGCTAAATGAACTAATCGGTAATGATGAATTGATTGATTTAGTTTGTGTAGATATTTGTGATATAGAAGTTGAAAGTTTGGGAGAAAATGGAATAACTCCATTTTTAATAGGTAATAATGATTGTGATTGAGTATTTGTATGAAATGATGTTGTGGGTTTTTTTAATGGTGGTAATTGTTTTGAACGATTAGTATTTATAGTTGTTTTCGGTTTAACTGTATTTGTTATTTTATTAGTATTATTAAGAAAAGTTGATGATGGAACAGAAAAATCTGTATTATCTAAATTAAGTGAATCAGATTTTGATGTTGTAGATGATGAACCAGTACTATGATGATCTATATAGGATAGAAAAATAATGTCTATTAATGAAATTCTTAAGTAAAATACCTTCTCGTTTTGATGGTATAATAAAACTTTTACTCATTTGTTGTTGAGGATGACGATTAGCTGTATTCACTGTTCGATAAGATAAACTTCCAAAAGATTGCATTTGTTTTCTTGGTAATGGTGTTGAACCAATTGTTAATGGTGGTTTTATTTGATTATTTATTTTATTTAAATTTTCAGTTGAATTTAAACGTTGTGAATTTGTTGTTTTTAATTTTGGCGAAGGAATAAATGTTGGTCGATGAATAGTTTCTTTGGTATGTAATGATGATTGAATAGAATTATACAATGTTGAACTTTGTTGTGGTGAATCATTAAGAACACGTTCAAGTCTTTGACGTAATTCATCCATATAACTAGCTGATTTAATTGGAGAATTTTCATGATCATTATCATCATCATTATTTTTATTAGCTGAGTGAAATAGGAAAAAAAAGTATTGATATTTTTAAAAGAAAATAATATCTTACTAGATATAGATGGCTGAAAATCATAATATTGATTATGTGGAATTGGTGTTCGACAATCATGAATAATTATATCATCATTTTCTGATTGTTCAGTTGGTGTTTCTGAACGAGTAGCATAAACAGGAGCAAAACGACCTTCAAATATACTTGTTATAAATACAATGTTTTTTATGAGTGCTGTTTTCTGTTGGAGAAAAAATACAATTTTATGAAACACGATCTTACAGGTATGTTGAAGTATAGAGGTAAATATTTGGACTCTATCCCTCCTCATAGATGTTGTTGACATCAAATCATCTACGAATCCATTTCATGGAGGAAATTTGCATCCTTAAGCAGTGCTGTATGTGATTGAATCACATGTTTGCAAATAGAGATTTGTGTGAAGTGGAATAGAAACTATGTTTCTGTCAAACATACGAACAATTCTATATTGCGACTAATTGTCGAATCACTCATTTGTCGCTTTCTCAAATGAACTATTTCTATGTTGTATTTCTTAAGGATAAAATAAAATTATGATGAACAAATATGTTCCAAATTAGATAGAATAAAGCAATAGTAACTACATCATGTTTCACATTTTCATGCTGCAGAGATTGTGCTAATAACTTTTTTATGAATCTTGTTTTCTGTTAGGAATAACTTTAACCGTGACAGATACTTATGCTTTTTTTTACAGTCACTAGAAGAAGAAAATGAAAGTTAATGCATCTATCATCGATCTTTCTTCGTGTATATTATGATAAATATTTCGAAAATCTTGCTAAAATTTATTCTATACAACGAAAATCTGCTCTATTTTATATCATAGTTTAATTCCGTCAATAATTTTGATTACCTGATGAACGATAAATATTCATTGCTTTATCCATAAGTGAATAATTTAGTTTTAATTGTTGTCCAAACTAAAAAGAAAGATATTCTTATTGTTAATGATCAAAACTATTTTAATATACTTTAGCTATTCGTATATTTATAATCCAACGATCGAATTCATTTTTTGTATCAACACACATATATTTTATATATTTCGAACTTTTCTTTTGAATTAATGGATGCTAGACAAAAAGAAAGTTCAAATAAATCATTTTCAATATTTAGAAAATATTGAAAAAAAAAACAATAACCTTTAATGCAAAACAAAAATCACTTGGTGATTTAAATTTCTTTTTCCAATCAAGACCAAAAAATAATTCAACATTTTCAAATTTTGCCAAACAGACAAGATCTTTCTAAAATTTAAAATTAAATTAATATTGATTATTAAGAAACAAAAATCATTTACTTTGCTTTTGCCTTTTGGTACAAAATAAAGACCTGATGAACGAAGTACGCAAAAATGTTTTTTCCATGATTTACGAGATTTTTCTTTTAGATAAATATTTCCTTCAACATCAGGTGTAGATGTTAATTCATCATTTGAAGTAATTGTTCGAAAAAAATTATATTTTTCAACACGTTTAGTAAAACTAAGTCGATTTGGAGAAACAGTTGGCCACATAAGAATAGCTTCAGTTAACTTTTGATGATCTTCAAAAATACGTTCTAAATTTTGAAATTTAAAAGAAAAAAGTAAAATAATTTTAATAAAATTTTCTCTCATTTATTTTTACCCATATGAAGATCTGGTAAAACTTCAACAAGAGCATAATTAATATCAGATTCACGATGATTTTTATGAACAAGTACAAAAAGAACATCACGTATTAACATTGAATCATGAATGAATATACTTTTTGTTGAATCATCATCATTATATGTACGAATAAGTATTTTTGATGGATGTCGAGCACGAGATAATAATGAATCATCATGATCAAGTATCATCGATGGTGTTTCGTCTATTGAATCTGTTATTGGAAGCATTGCATGATAGTTTATCTAAATAGAAAGAAAGTCTAAAACATCTGCCTTTCACAAATTTCATTGAATGAAATCTATGAATAGCATATTAGTTTTAAATGGATGAAGACTATTTTTTTTTATGAAATTATGACTTATCAATTCAAAAGGATCGATCATTTTTCAATCGATGTATGATTTAGATATTAACTATAAATTCATTTTAATTTCTGAATTTTATCAATTAGATAGGATAAATTTATTAAAATTTTCTCGTATTAAAAAATCAGCATGTTCTTGAAAATTCCATGAAAATAATTGTACAGATAATATTTTAATTCCAAATATTTATTTATAATACACTAAAATTGATGAATACGAGCAATGAGAAGTCATTATAAATGTTACCAATAATAATCAATATAGTAATATGAGCATAAAGTTTTATATAGGAGATACAATCCGGAAAGAAGAAAAAAAAAAGTAAATTCCTTTATCTTGATTCATTCAATCAACACATGCAACATTTCTTCATCTTGTCATCTGACTAGAACACATATCCAACTATCGGATGCCATTCCACTTAATATTATGGCTACGAGTAGACTCCTACGATACGAAGAAAATTTTAAAAGGATTCAGGTTTATACCCTACTGATGCAGAATTATGATTGTTTTAATGAAATTTTTCCTGCAAGCAAGGAATTTACAAAAATCTAAAAACAAAGAGTTTCAACGAAAACGAACATGCCTTTCCCGATGATATTCAATGTCCAAAAAGAAATAGCAATTTACTATAGGAGGACATAGTAAGTGAGTCTACTTGGATATCGAATATCTCGAACAACACATGCTCGATTTCGTTGAAAACTTCAAGACTTTTTAACCACTATTAAACCTACTTATAGGCAAAATTCTTTGTTTTTGGTTTTTCGGAAATGCTTTGCTCGCGGAAAAAATTTTATTATAATGGTCATAGCTCTTCAACAGTAGAGCACGAGTACTAATCCTTTTCAAACTTTTCTTAATATCATAAGAATCTATTCATAGTCATAATATTAAATCGAACGACTTCCAACAGTTGAATATGTTCTCTGATAAGTTTGATGCAAAGTAGATATGAGATCATTCAACAGTATTGCAAATCAACTTCGGTTCCAGTTCTTTGTAAATTTTGAGAAATCTAAATTGATTTCATCTCTGATACAAACCCGCACATCTCTAGTCATGTATAGTATTAAATAATCGTGGTATGTGTTTAAAGAGATAAACTATAAATTTCTATGATCAGTCACAATAGTTTCATAAGAAAAAGATTTCAATATCAAAAGATTCTTACTGATTCATCACGATTAGTTAAGGTAATTTTATCATTTGATCCGCAATCACTAAATGCTGAATCACAATCATCTGTAGCCGTCGTATTTTTTGATGTTAATAATATAGAATGATGATTTGTATTTGATATGTTATATAAATGAAATAATTCATTACCAATTTCATCTCCAACTCCACTTGAACAAGCACTTGAATCTGATGAAGGTTGTTGTTGAGAATCAATATTAGATATTGTACAATCATTTATTGTTAATGATAAACTTTGTAAGGCAGCTTCAAGTTGATCTTCAAGTGTACGAAGTTCATGAACACAACCATTTGTTGAAAAAGAAGATGAAGACGAAGATAAATATTTTCTTGATGATGAATAATGATTCATTGTTAATTTTTCTATTTTATTAAGTTTTGGAAATAATAATTGTTGTTGTGAAGATGAAAGATTCGAATTTTCTTCAAATTCAATTTTAAAATCTTGTAATTCAGATAAAATTGCGTCAAGTTCAGTTGAATCTTCTTCTTCTTCTTCTATAAAAAGAAACAAAAATAACAAAATATGTATTATCTATTCTTCTAACTATCATATACTTATTCATATAATAACTTGCTTAGTTAGTATTGTTCTTATCCTATGCTTCTAGAATGATATTTAATGTATAATTATATACTATACGTATGTATTCTGATTGATAATTAAGACAGACAAAAAGAAACGAAGGAGAAACCAACTATGCATGTTCACACATCTGACTTCGACAGAAACAGTTGTACTTTCTTTTTCTTTTTCTTTTTCTTTTTCTTTCTCTATATACTAGTACTTACTGAAAAGAACACACAAAAAATGAATACTAGAGTAGTTATGTAAGACAAATAGACTAAAATTGTATGAATGAACAAGCACAGTTCAATAAGAGATAATGTAATTATTATGACAAAGATTTAAAATAATACTTTCTGTCAGAAGATTGTCATAGATTCCAACTATAGAATACAATGCGTGAGTACTGATCTATATACGACATTCTCATTTACATTTTTTCTAGACTTACGTTTATAATATGTTAGTTGGCAAACGGAAATTAAAGAATCGTATTGTTAGGATGACCTTTTTTTTTGGTTAAGCTTACAAGGACAAATTTTTATAACAATGTCAATATATTAAGATGAACAATAATAATGATGCAATCATTGTTAACCTATTTCGTCCGATTACATGTTCTATCCTATCATAGAATAATTGATTTCCCTTGATATGACAGTTATGATTGGGGATTTACTTTAAATATTAGAAGATTTTTGTATTTGATTGATACTTTTTATCATCAATGTTAGAATTATTCTATCATGTAGAATTAAATCATATCATACATGTTAAAATTTGACTCATCTGCTAAGATAGGTTTATCTTATTACATAATATTTGCCTGTTAACGGAATACATATAATATACTATTCATTCTGTCACATCTATCATCATCTTTTATCATGAATATTATTTCATCAATACATATTTCCTTGAAGGAAATAGTTATAGAGCAATTGACCGGAAACACTTCTTGGCTTGTATTGACTAGTGAGAAAAAAAAATGAGATTAACTTACCATAAAGATGAATAGAAAATGGTGAACAAGAATTGTTCTTATTGTTCATTTGAATTGAACGCTAAAATAAAATAGAGAAAATAAATAAATAAATAAGTAAATAATTTATTAATCATTTCAAAAAAATTCACATTTATATTTATTAGAATTTTCAGTGTGAACTATAAAGAATGTGTAATAAATAAGAGACCTTTAAAACTCTTGAACATATTTTGGCTAATCAAATCAATTTATATATATATATATATATTTATATATAAGAGACAAATAATAAAGATATTGAGCATTTATTAGTTGTTACCATTTCATCTATACACATATCAGAAAACAACTAGATTAAGAATAAAAATAGTACATTGCAAGAGATAAATTACTCGATTAACTTAGATCTTTCTAACAAAACAAAAATTGAATGCAGGTCACATACAGCTGTTCTTTAATAATCGTCTCTCATCTGTTCAATATGCTTGATTAAATATCTAAAACAATAGTAGAAAGTGTACAGAACTGAAATATTCCATATAGAAAATTACTAATTATATGAATAGTTATTTAACATTAGAAAGAATTTTAAGCAGTTTTATGGAATAAAGGAGAGATACAGCAAATCATCTATGCTGATTTTTTAAAATTGAGAAAAACTAAATTTCTCTTTTTTTTATCTAATGAATTTTATTTTATCTATAATAGATTTATCCAAAATTAGAAATACTATAGAAAAAGTCGTAAACAAGAATTGACATTTTAAGAAAAACATTCATAGTGTGCATTATTTCCGAGAACATCTTCAAAGTCTATTCAATAAATGCATACATCTATAGCTACATTGATTGTTCGTCGTTCAAAAATCGTATCATCAATAATCAGATATTTATTAATACCGGTAGAAGAAAGAAAACAATCGGCGATAAGGAGTTGCAGTCCACGTTTTTGTGGATCCGGATCTGAACCAAGAAAAGTTTAAAGTTTACACTCGAACTCAGTCAGTTCCAAACCAGAGGTTTTTCATCAACATCTGGCACTCTTTGTATACATGAATAAGTAAAGAATCAAGGTTTTAGCTATTAATTCACTACTCAGGAAAAAAACTCAACGTACAGTTATATCTTGTTGCTGTATTTCTCATCTGGGAAGCAGGAGTCCACATAAACGTGTGACCGAACCCGACAAAAAAATAAAACTTTGGGCCCGGTCAAGTCCGGATCTCGAAGGACTCGTGGTTTCTTAATCGTCGATATTTTTTCGATGATTTGGTGAAATCTTTGTTTCCATTATCGTTCAAAATATTCAAAAGAAAAATTTAAAAATAAATTCAGAAGGACGCTGTCAATATTCTCGCTATTTAGTCATATGTAAATAGTCTTATATTGTAAAAAGAAAGTTTTCTAAATTTTCACGATACAATCTTACAAATATATGAACGAGAATATTACAAGAAAAATTTTTAATATATTTGAGATTGCATATAATCTTATTAACAGTATCTATTATATTATTCTCTTTTTGATTGCGACAAAACAAATGCAATTTTTCAGGTGTCTGTAATAAAAGACACGAACATCCTCTAACTGGAAACTGATACCATCGATAGATCGAGCTCGTCGAGTTAATTATACGAACACCCATATCTTTTACCAATGAATAGATCGATTTGACTTCGACAGATATCTAAAGTATTAAAGTTTTATATGCTAGCCTTAGAAAAATAGAAGAGATGTACTTTCTCAATTTCAAGTCTGATGATTGAATTTTGCATAAAGCACTTGTGAACGTGTCCAATCAATATCTATCATCAATTACTATATTTGACAATATAGAGTGTCATATACGCTAGCATCAATATTGTATCCTTTTTTTCTTCTGCTTCTACCGAAGAACGACACGGCCTCGGACAACAATGCTAGACTCAACGCTCAGGAAAGAGAAAAAATATAGCACAGGTATTATTACAGCAGACAAAAAATCAAAAGACAGAACAAACAGAAGGCACCATTAATCAACGAAGAAGAGGATACAATGCTGATGCTAGCGTAAATGGCATTCTATACTGTCAAATACGGTAATTGATAGAAGATATCAACTGGACACGTTTACAAGAGCTATAGGCAAAATTCAATTACACGACTTAATATTGAGTAAATACATTCCTTCCATTTTTTTTTAATGCTAGCATATAAAGCTTCATATTTTGAGTATATAGCTAAGTCGAGTCGGCTTACTCACTGGTAAAAGATATGAGTGTTTGCATCTTTTACAGATACCCCAGTTCTTCTATTATATGACAACAGTATTATTGTACAATACAAAGAAGGTTCTTCAGAGAACGAATAATCCTATTGTCAGATTTCGTCACAAGCCGACAGAATCTTGTCGGAAGTTCTAGAAATTTGAAAGCTAGCCTATAGAATTCAATCGAAATTATTCATATCAGACTCGGATGGTTGCACTGGGGTATTTAAATTGTCGGTCAAATTTGGTTAATGTTCAATAGACTAAAAATAAAGTTATTTAAATAGAAAACGAAAGTTATATCTATACGTATCACTGTATTTCATTGTCTTCTTCATATCTTTCAATGTCTCATAGTTGGCACATGCCGTTGATACTCTATTTTCATAATTACTTCTCAATGTCAAATGTAATATGCAATCAACAGGATGTTCATCACACTTAAACAAACAGTATCATCACCTACTGCTGTTCATTTCATTTATCATCAGGCATCAGTAGTACAAACATATACATATATGTATATATATATATATATATATATATATATATATATATTTGAGCTCAAGTATGCAATCTTGATAATATAGTATATTTCGCTGTATGCGTACCATTAGCCAAGCAAATAAACTTCTTTTTTTTCTCAATATATGTATATACATAGAGACAGTTCAATATATAGAAATGACAACAGTGTAAAAAGGTCAAATGACGATAGTACTTATACAAAAGCAATCATGCAAAGAATGGTCCCAAGTCGGATGAGCACAACTGCTTGACGAACGATTTCTTTTAACAGGCGTACATAGCGCGATAGATTGACCTTGCTCTGACATCAATGAGCCGTGTATAATCAATGTCATCATAGAACAATGCCAACTTGATAGTTGGACGATACGAGATAGATCAATTTCCTAATTTCTCTAAAAGTCATTTTTTTCAAAAGTTTATTTTGACAAACGAAATTCACTTAAAAAATCTAATAGAGAATATCAACAGATTTATGTTAAAACTTACTGCTCGTGCACATGATTGTTTAAAACTTTGTAATGCTCGATTTGCTGCTTGTTCTTCACTTTTATCTTCTAAATTTTCATTATTATCGTCAAATTCTTGTTCAGATTCCGACAATTCGGAATCCCATTCAGAAATTGATGATGAACTATCGAATTGTTCTTGTTGTAATGAAGGCGATAGTAATTTTTCTATTTGTGTGATTGTTTCATCGAATACTTCTGATTCATCTTCTTCTTTAATTGAAGACATACTACAACGTCGTACAAGAAGACGATTCATCATAAATCTGAAACGAATCAAGAAAAATTAGACCAACAACTGCTACAAAATTATCAGAAACAAAAAAATTAAATGCATATTGAAATAGTTTTTACATATACTATCACATGTATATACTATATTTTCTACTCTCTTGTTTTAAGGAGCTCTCACACATATAATGATTCATCGAGGATTAACTGTATAATACATGCCAGGAAAAGGAGAAAAAAAGAGCTAATCTAGTTAATTGTCACCACATTCATATCATCAAATCTACAATAGACAAAAGAATAGCTGATTATGAAACAAAAGTACGAATGTAACACTATATATATGTATATATATTTATAATATGGATTACAAATGAAAAAGAAAGAGTTTTCAATATAGGACTATGTATTTTTTCTTTAAACTAAACACCTGTCATCTTGGTTTTAACAATAAAATCTAAGATTAGTTTTTAATATTATTGAACAGATATAAAACAAAAGAAAGGAATAATCATTGCAAGTATTCACCATTGTATCAATATTCAAGATTGTTCAGTTCATATTTTGATTATTAATGAGTTTAAAAGAAGATTGGTAAGATAAGATGAGAAGTGTAATAATCTACAAGAAAACTACGCATTTGATCCTTTTACGCCTTGCATTTTGCAAATTATGCCTAAAGTGCGATGACAAGTTGATCGACATTCATAAATAGATACTTACAGTTATGTGCCTGTTTCTCTCTTTTCTCGTTAATATTTCATATATATTAACACATACTCAACGTTCGGTGGACAAGTTCTCTTTTTTTTTGCTTGTTTAGCATCTACATATACTAGTGAATGTTTGTGTTCATTCATTCAGCTTTGATTTCTCACTTTTCTTCTCTGATTAATACTCTCTCTCTCTCTTTCTAGTTCTCTCAATCTCCAATACATGTACAAAAAAGAAGAGAGTTATATGGAGGTAATTATTGAAGAATAATAGAATGTTGGCGCATCATCTTGATTAGCTACTTGCTGATGTCGATATCGGAATGCGATCGATTTATGCAACAGTATTGTATGCACATATGACATAAATGACTCTGCATATGATCATTTCACACTCGACACAATATGGTTATTGTTTAGTCAATAGACTATACAGTGCTTGTTAACTTTGTCGGCGCCGGATGGTATCATTCTATTTCTTTGTCTGACACTCGTCTTTATTTTTCTTCTTCTATCTGTAATAAAGAATATTCTATGCGCAAATGAACAGTCACAACATGTTTGTATCAATCATAATAAACTGTTCTACATAGTAGTAGTTAGATCAATTAAAGAAAAAAAAACGATCGAAGAATCATTATTTTAAGATAAGATACACTTTCTAACAATCTTTATCTTTTTAATCATGTTATAATAAAATGACATATTCTCAATGACTGATCATACGAAAAGAAGATCAAACTTATTGAAAGAAGTATCAATAAAAAAATAGTTGAGATATCTATTATGTAATACATACATAGAATGATGACTTGTGTTCAGCACATGAATGAATACATATATTTCAGTGATGTAAGTACTAGTGTATGACTATATCGATTTCATGCATGTCAATTTATTCAATTGGATGGAAATACAAACGAAGTAGAGAAGAAATAACACTGAAAATAGGAAGTATTTTTGGCTTTCACAGATCGGTTATTCATTGCTGTTCATATAATAACAAAAAAATTAGTTGATTTGTCAAAGCGAATACAGGTGTTATATGACGAATAGATGAGACAAATAAATTGATACTCTGCTTTTATGAATGAATACATGATGGGACATTGATCGAATGATCATAAAATTTGTTGAAATAATTTTCAGAGTGACAATACATTGATATTTATGCTCTCCTTAACAAACCAAACTCTAGACAATAATGTATTTTTTTACTTTTGTGTTAGTCTTTTTTTTTTTTACATGAACATTTGATGTTATACTAACGTTTAGTTTGCATTGACGGACGACGCATATAGAATGGAATAAATAATTTTAAACCTACGGCTAAATCAATAGATCAAAGTTGAAGAATGTAAATGAGATAAGTTTCTAAAAATACACGATCTTCCACAAATTTGATATTAAGATGTTCTCTTCACATCAGGCGATTCATTAAAAAAAAACTAATTTGATATATTTTTATAAACCATATGTAGAAGATTTTTGAAAGTTTGAAGTCTCAATAATTCAAATGATAAGTAATTAATAGGAGATAGGTAATTGTTAACTTTGTTACGATTGTAAAATTATACATCTGAACTATCTACTGACATGGCAAACTTTTTTTTCATTTGATAGAGTCATATACGTAACCAAAGTATAACATAACAGAACGATCGATAAATCCAAGCAGAGATGAAACTGGTGCTGGTACCGATCGTGAAAAATTCAGATCAATTCTATCTCTGCATGCAAGTATTCATTACATTTTTATTTTGATAGAAATAAAAAGTATGAAAAGATGAATCATATGTTATATCAATATTGATTGAACGACAATTATTATCCAATAACTATATCCCCAATGAATGTACGTATTCTACTATCAGTATATCATAGAATGCTTTAAGTATTTTATGGGTTTTTAGTACTTGACTAGAAAAATGCTTCTAAATGTTCAATATACTAATAAGTTGAAAAATTTTTTGTAGAATGCTATGGAAACTGGATAGGTACTTGGTAAGTGTCTATGTACTGAGAGAATTCTAAGCAGAATATCCTACTGGCAACTAACCGACTACACAAGCATCTTGAATTGAATACGTTTACTAAGAATCTCTATTAAAAACTTTCCAATCTCTTACGTTTCTTTTCGAAAAAAAAACAACCTCTCAAATTGATTGAAATGTCACTTAAGTTTTCAATTACAGTTGTTCTTCAAAGGTTATATGAGTACGCATCCTTGAATACCAATTTCATTTTACAACATTTGATGAATCATATAAAAATTTATCTCTCTACTTTTTCGCTGATTCATATAGTCCACAGAGCAATAGATAACATGAGACGTTTATATACACATTCTAACATAAAGATTTCTATGTATATGACATAACTATTTGCTTTTATTTCATTTAACATAAAATATTATTTATGAACTCGTAAAAGTAAAACCAAGGTAACAGTGACTATAATTATAACAACAACGATCAATAAAAGAAGTCCATATAAGAGTATTCTTTTTCGACGATGGGATGACTAAATAAAAGAAAAAATTATTTCATAATGACATATTTTATTATCCTAATTAATGCTTACATCTAGTTGAGCAGCAGATGCTAATCGTTGACTATCTGTACTGTTTTGATTATCAATCGCATATGAATCTTAAATTAGAATTAAGAGTTAGAATGGGAATTTTTATAATGTGTCACACTTACTAGTAGACAATGGTTCCAATTTTGTGCTTCTATTAAGATTATGAGGAACGTCAGTCGATGGATCAATATATTTCTGACAAAAAAAATATGCGATGAAAACATCATAGGAGAAAAAGTGACTCACCCCAAAACTGTGAAATATATCAAGTTGTTCTTTATCGGCTTGTGATGGGCTACGACTTGGCGTCTGTCCTTGTTCAACATCGTGGTAAACTGTTTCGGTAGATTGTAATAAATCGAGCATCTTCATTTCTCTAATCAACCCAATACACCATCTATTTGCATATATATATATACCAGATATTTTGTCCTCTGTTGTCACCTTTGTTGAAGTGATATTATAATGAAAAAAAAAAGAAAGGTAGAAGTTTTAATAGATAATAATAGATAATGATATTCCGAAACAAAGTACAACCTTGACGAATCAACAAGAAAGATTTATTAACATAGTCAATACTAAAGGGCTTATCATTCAAACTAAAGAAAATTTTCTTTAATAAAAAATTGAGTTTTATATATATGGTATAATTTATAGTTGTATGAAAATTCAATGAAATTGAATTCTTGATTGTTGTACTTATTGGATAAAATACAATGTTAATACATCAAAACAGTAAGACATATAATTGAATTTTATGCTTTAACTAATCATAACGTGTGACCCAAAATGAATGGTCGGTTTTTTGTATTTTTACTTTTTATCATGTTGTACTTTGGATTCAACAACAAAATATAATATATGATGCAGCGTGAAAAGCTCTACAAATCTTATTTTATATATATATCGTATCGAAGTTATACCAGTCGACGAAGTTACTTCAATTAAATAAAATACTCAATGAATGTCAGTTAATTCAATATGTTAAAAAACATAATCCAAAAATTAAGTTCATTTTCCATTTTAAAAATATTTTTATCATTTTTTTAAAGAAAAAGTATAGAAGAAATTACTCAGAAAATCAAACATGATCTTTTTTTTATATCTATACGAATATAGAAGTATTCTGACTGCATCTAGATCAGTAGCTAATGAAAGAGATCTCTAGAATACTATCCTCTGATTTAAATAATGCAACATAGTAATAAGAAAAATACTATCTATAAGGATAATTCAAACGCTTTACCGAGTCAGACTTACACTGAGTCAAACAAAAACCTCACATGGCTGAATATTTTAATAACGGGTTTTAGTATTATCTATCTATTAGTTAAATATAAAGTCCACCAGCAAAAGTGGTCACAAGAAGGAATGTATCAGATAAACGTCATACGAAAAATAGTAGATAAAACAGTAAGAGCAATTTGTGGTCATAGTCCACTATCGCTGCGATGTTATAAAGACTTATATTTTGAACTCCTTTGTTTATACTGAAAAAGTCGGATCTACCTATTGTAGCATATTACATATTTGGACTGCATTAGAAGAAAATCAATGTCTGAGGTAAACATATTCTGCATTCTGAGCTAGTTTTTTCACATTGATTTTGCTTGGTTCTCCCTTACAGATAGGCGCTTCTCTTATCTTCATTCTTAGTCGTGAATTTTATTCGAAAATAAAAACAGCGAGTCAGAATAAAATATTAAAAAGATCTTCGATCAAAATACACTGTGAGAGACTTGCTAATTTTATACCTATCTACTATTTAAATCAGAGGATAGTATTCTAGAGATCTCTTTCATTAGCTACTGATCTAGATGCAGTCAGAATACTTCTATATTCGTATAGATATAAAAAAAAAAGATAATGTTTGATTTTCTGAGTAATTTCTTCTATACTTTTTCTTTAAAAAAATGATAAAAATATTTTTAAAATGGAAAATGAACTTAATTTTAGATAATGTTTTTTAACATATTGAATTAACTGACATTCATTGAGTATTTTATTTAATTGAAGTAATTTCGTCAAACATTAACGTCGAAGTTACAACTTCGTCGACCAATGTAACTTCGATACGACATATACACCCTTTGTTTTCAACACATGGACACAATTCTTTGCAATCATAAGTTTCGATGCTGTGAACAAGATCATTAGATTCGTACACAATAAATTCATTGTCAAAGAATTATAAGTTTTTAACTGTAACTCATTGCATATTATTGGTGATAGTGTCATACACGTAATAATTCAAAATATTGAGATCAAGACTAGCCATCTGTGATTGTTTATCAAATGGATGAAATTCTCTTCACATCATGTCAATGATATATTTGTAGCATGGTATTGTCTTGTTGACAAGTAAAATCATTATCCAAGAGTTGTTTATCATCAAATTGTGCATGTGAAAGAACAGCTTCAATATAATTTATACGAAGTTTAAATATAATTAGCATCTAACCATACCATAAATCCTTTTAGATGCGTACAACGAAATATATCCAACTGTCGGATGTCGTTCGAGCCCATATTTTGGCTATGAGTAGGACTCAACTAGACTAAGAAAACTCTAAAAAGATTGGGGCCCATAATGTGTCTAGAGAGAAATCTTGTTGACACATAGATTTAAGAATATATGATTTTTTTTAGTTTCTTCTCGGCTTTTTTTTTTCTTTATTCAAGAAGTTAAGATCTGGAAGTTTTGACATAGAATTTTCATTTAATACATGAGGCAAAATCATATTCATTGAAGAAACTTCTATCTCGTTTAAGTCTTGCTGCTCCACGTTACTGCAAAAAGAAAAAAATAAGTAAAGAATATATTTTTCTCTTCACTTGAGAACTATGTGAGCGTCAACGGTAGTGTATAGCGTACGAACTGACTTAACCATTTTTTCATATTCTATTCCAAAAATGACCATGGCTAGTTTAATTGCATCTCTTCTGAGCACTCGAAGTTCTAAGGAGACTGATTTTCGATCCGTTCAACATTCTAAAGCAATAAAATATTACATTTGATGATGCATTGAAGAATAGTGATATAGACGAAGTTCAGGTAACATTTTCATTTAGTTTAATAGAGTACAGTACCATTGAAAATATGTAATTTATTTATGGCATAGAATTCATTTAGATGGAAATCTTTGTTGAAAAGAGATGAATAGAAGAATAAACATCTTCCAGAATACAAGATTCTGAGTCTTCTGTTGTGACTAATCTATTTTCATAACTTCTAATTAAAAAGTTTTTTCAGAAAAGCAAAACGATTGTACAGATTTAACAAGTGATTTTTAGAAACTCAGAAATAATGTTGACCATTGCCTTTTAAAATTTTCAGCTTAAAACTGCGGAAATTAGGTATATTCTTATGTAAATATTCTAATTAAAGTCCCCGTTTGTTGACAAATCAATTAATTAATCATTAAAAGCTGAATGTTCCTTCCAAGGAACTTTGCAGTAATTGCTATTGTAGACTTAATAAAACTCTATATACAAAAACTAGTATATTAACAAATGCTGATGATCTTATAGATCATAAAGTAAAAATCAAATCCCTTTTACATGACTATCAGACGACACAGCAGATTTCTTTTAAATCTATAATTTTTTAAAACTCATTTTTCATTCTAAAGGCTTTGTTTATTCATAATCATTTTGTTTTTTTTTGAGTAACATGACTTAGCACAACGTCAATCTATTTGACGAAATCGTTTGATAATTTTTTAAACGACCTGTTGGCTTATTGTAACATCATTAAGAAAATATCCATTGGAAGAGACATTCGGTCATAAAAATATAAAATATTCTACCAACCTACCAACAACGGAAGAATTATTTAAAGTATTATGCAGACAAATCGTTGGCTACTTTGAATCCTTCTGAGAACAGCCGCATGCCTTCTCAATTATCAAAAGTTTTTGTTCCACCTTTGTCGAAGTTACTGATTTCACTCCAATTCTAAACACTTCACGATAAGCCTGATCCTACATCTAGAGAGTATTCAGTAGCTATTTCGTCGGTGAGCTTAGGTCACTAGCAAAATCAGGACACGATTCTTTTGTCTTTCATAAGATTGATTTCGCGGCATTTGGCTGAGCTCATAGGGTAGTGTTATAATGAAACATACAGTGCAGAAGTATTAAAAAAATTGCAAATATTCTATTGAATGTGCTCGTAATGCTATGTATATGAAATAAATAAATAGAATTATTTGTGAGAAAAATTTTTCTCGTATAAATTAAGAAAAATGACACATTCATGCTGTTTTCAAGGCACATTTTGTAGGTCTACAAAAAAAAAGTTGATCGTTTTTTTAAACTATAATATGATCGTACTTAGTGTCCAGAATCTCTATTTTAGTGGTCTATTTTTTCTCATCTTCAAAAAAAACTACCGTCGGTTTTTAAGGATTAAGAAGGTAGAGGACTTCTATTACGTCCGATAGATCATTTCTGTAAGTCTTCTATTGTAAGGAGAAGTTTACTTAAAACTATCATTATTTGAATATAGGCTGTCAAGAAATTTTAACTAAATTGCATGTGTGTTGTCCGTGTTTGTCAATGATAAAATGCAATAGAGAAACACATTCAAATGAGGAAACTATTTTAACATTCACTATAACCTTAGAAGTAAAGTATGAAATGTCATCAAATGATTATCATATTAACATATTCTTCTTTGCTTCATGAAAATGTTTAGAACATACTCATTTAATGCGTCATCTTTCATCAAGGCAAAAGACCATACGGCATATTGAATAATATTAAACATCAGTGAGGACTTAAACGAAAGATAAAAATACAAGGATATACAATAGATCTCAATGACAACTTTGAATTTATCTATGAAATTATGTATTTACAAGAAAAACTTTACTCTCTCAAGAATTCTATTCTCGAAAATATTAAAAAAGAACGAAATATGATAAAATCATATTGACGTTCGATATAATAATAATCATTTATTGTTTAAATAATTTCAATAAAAATGAACTAAAACATTTTATTCATCGATTGACATATTAATTATCTAGGCAAATAATTGTTTTCTTTTTAATTTATTCGTTTTATTTAAAAAATAAAATTCTTTAGTTCTTAATTAAACTTCAGTACTTTTAATTGTAGTAACAACAATTGGATTTTCTGCATAATCATTTTCTGGACGTCCATATACAAGATTAGCTAATTCTGTTTCAAGTTCAGCATCGTTAACTGAAATAACACGATGTGGAAATGGTTTACTTAATGTATTACTAATTTCACCTTGTTCATTAATTCCAATTTGAACATCCGGATCAATGCCGTGTGTTTCTGTATTTAATGTAGACTTACTATGATCATCATTATTTACTGTAAAACCTTTTGATGATGATAATGTCTGCAAAAATTACTATGAAAAATGTGTTTCAAAACAAAAATTTACATTTTTATTTCAAAGTAAAATACCTCTGTGGGTGATGGTGACATATTTGGTTGCAAATTCTTATCTAAAAATTATATATAACTCTGTAAACAAAAAAAAACACAAAAATATGTTCCATTAATCAAACCTTTTGGTTTTGCTTCTGATTCTGTAGTTGAATCTGTTGTAGGTTCATAAGATTTTGATTTTTTTGATTTATTTTTACCAGCACATGCACCCATTAAGGGAAGGAAAAAAATAAGAGTAGAATTTGTTGCAAAAATGTTTATGGTATATGTAGAAATAGTACACTTCTCATGTCTTTTTTTCCTGTTTATCACCTTAAATTTTTTCTTTCTTGTTCTTTTTATTGACTCATCAGTCTTATCAAGAAGCGGGGAAGAAGAAAAAAAACGAAAAAAAAAAGACGTTGGTGTGTTTCATTCAAAATACTCTCGAGATAAAACCAAAGATGCAAAAGAAGAACGCATTTGTTTTTCTTTTGTCATATCAACAAGTAAAAGCTGAAATAAAAAAAACATATAATAGAATCATTTATAAATGAATATGTTGTGATTTATAATAGATTTTTACTTTTATTCTATTGTTAAATGAAATTGTTCTTTTTTTTTTGTTTTACTATTGAACTAATGAGAAAATAAATGAGAAAACAATCTTCAATAATAAATATTTTTATTGACAAACTATATGTTTGAGTATACGATTAGTGTCATTTTTATCATATTAGAGACAGAGATAGTCTATAAAATTGATAAGAATTGTGCGTTTTGTCGCCCATGCTAGCAGCTGTCATCATAGCCAATATTTAATAACATTAGTAGGCACTATAAAAGCAAACATATCTCAAGAAAAGAGTACTATTCAGATGGAATCGCACGAAACTGTTAAATCGAACCTTATTGCTCTTGCGACAAGACTAATTCAAGAAACTATTGAAAAAGCACTTAGTTTGTATATTTATTTTATATTTTTCGTTTATGAATTAAATATTTATTATAATTTAGATATTATCTATGAAGATACGGATCATATTGATAAGAATATTCATGAATCGAAGCAATCTATTAATAAAGTGCATGTTTAAATGGATACAACATTGATGAATTCTTAAACTATATTTATCATCATTTATGTTTGGATTCATGCAAAAAAAACAAATTTTTCTATATTTACTTGGCTTTTTTTTGTTATCTTGACTTCTGATTTTTATTTGATAAAAAATAGAGATTGAAAATAATGAAAGATCGAAGTACCTATCACCGATTTGAAAATGAATGAAACACTTGAATGAGCGCTTTACACAATGGTGTAGTAAACAAGCAAAAATTTTATATTAATTATGAACCAAATTTCATCTAGAACGCCACGCAAACTACTACTGAATAGGTATTGCAATAATTTAAGAGCTGTCTGATTGTATTTATGAACTTCAGTCGAGTCATGTACAATTAGACAGTTCGAATTCGACTTCGAGTCAATTTTCAAAATAAAATTAGTCTTTACTTTCTTTACTATTTCAATAGGATAGTCATTACTTGAATGAAAATTATACATGAAGATTTATAGTTTGTTTTTGGTTATTAGCGCGGCACGCGAATACGAAAGTTTCATTTACATTCGAGCACAAATTAGAAAAGTGCTGCTAAATTCATGTTTTTTTTCGCCATGACACCAATGTTATCGTGAGAATCTGTAAGTAAGACTAACAGAATGAATATAGCATCACTTACAATCTTGTTGAAGTGATTTGTGATTTATATTCATTCGAAATATATGTATAATGAAAAAAGATTTTTTGCTTTCCTATGGTATATTAACCGCTCTTCTGTCATTAATTTCTACCATTCATAAAGAAATAATAGCCAAATTTTGTTTATTCTTATTTAAGATTGACACAATTGTGACGTGCATCACAATGACAGGAAGAAAAACTCCTGTTCTATGCAAACGTGTATCACTAGAACTATGTTTCTTATAAATGTATATCAATAGAAAACACATTAAGAAACATACGTTAATTGATGATTATTTTTGCGTATACATATGTGAAGAAGAGTCATATATGTATAGATATAATTGACAAATAATGAAAGGAATTGCTAGTATTTATTTAACTAAGATCGATGGAGATATGGAAGACACGTGTCTTTCTTTGTTAGTTCAAATCTAACAAAAACAAAACATCATCATTGCATTACGTGCTTGATGTCTTTATTCAAACGCAGAAATTTATTCTATGAATAACAAACATTGGTCGTAACGTTAATTGCATAATTCTTTTGAGTTTATTTTGAAATTGCAACTATGACAGACAAGATACGTCAACAAAACAAAAATAAACACAATGCGATTTTTATTGTAGATGTCAATGGTTGTTTTTCTTCCGTTCGTGTTGGTACAGTGAGTGAAAATATGATGATAAAATCAGACCCCACGCGAAGGTTCCAAGATTGGGGGCGGGTGGAGGAGTGTGAGGAGGCTTCAAAGCAGTTAAGATTGCGGGACACAAAATTTTTTTCGTGTCAGATCTGACGTTGATCTTTCTCTGCTGACCTAAAATATAACAATTTTTCGCGAAGCGACAACTTTTTGCGATCTTCTTAAGAAATTCGACTTTTTCTGACACACTTTTAAGAAGAGAACTCGAGTCCGATGTGAGAAAATTTCTCAATACTGTCGTTATGGAAAACGACCACCCCGGAGAAAATTGTTCTATATCAGCTGTGTTACAGGCATGTTGTTCATATACCCTCACATCGCTTCAGCTGTTATTGTCCGTTTTCTCTCTGTTCGTCTTTGGCATTCGCTTCTTGTCTCTGTTTTGTTTTACGTTCTATCGCTCATCATACAATTTCATACTTTCGTTATCCACATTCTTCACCTCTGCACGTTTCTTTTCGAACGCCTCGTCTCATTCTTTTGTTTTTTCTCTCTTCACGCTTTTCTTCATCCATCATTTTTTTCTCCTTTCTAAATAATCTTCAGCTTCTCCTGTACATGTTCTATTTCATCATCACTTTTCTTAGTCTTTTTTTTTCATGCGCCACCAGTCTCCATGTCAATCGTGGCAAACGATTTCTTAATAGTGTAGTTCATAATCGCATCACCGTCTTAGAACAATCGCATAGTACTCATCGTGATGAGACACGAAATATATTCATCCGAAGTGCTACTGGAATTGGTATCGTCATTCTTCTTATCTTCGTGATTATATTCTTCGTCTACCGTCGACCTCGACGATCGGTTCGTCATCGTCAAGCGCCCCTTCTTTAAGTAATTGAAGCATCTGGAGTTGGTGCAGTGCATCCTATAGCCAACCTACCTATGAATACCATGCGACGTCTCGACACTTTAGAACATGCCTCTCAATCCCCTGATTTACATTATGCATCCTGACCTCCACCTGTTTTACTGCCCCTCAAATTCTAACTTACTTACAAGTTTTATATTTCGAACATCGTATTTGTTCGTTTTCGTTTTCTTTTTTTTTTCTTTATAATGCCAGTATACTATCGTTGCGTGTCTTTATTTTATCATTCTTCTTTTCGTATCTGCATGCTTACAATTGTTTTTTTCTCTACACTGGTATCATCAAATGTGTGTGGACATACATTTTCTTGTTGGTGGGGAGGTATGTTACAGGCATGTTGCTCATGTACCCTCACATTGCTTCAGCTGTTATTGTCCGTTTTCTCTCCGTTCGTCTTTGGCATTCGCTTCTTGTCTCTGTTCTGTTTTCGTTCTCTTTGTTTACATTCTTTGATTCTTTTTTTCTCTCATCGCGATGCTCTCTATCTTGGGTTGGGTCATTCGAAATAAAACTGAATTAAGAGAAGAAGCAAAAGGGACCTCTGATAAGCTGTTTCAAAGGAAAAATTGACAAAAGTAGGAAGTTTGTCTAAGTTAACTGCGATTACGCAATTGTTATTTTTCGCGAAGCGAAAACATTTTTTCAGATTCATGAAAAATTGATGTGATTGTATCTCATGAAAAGCTTTTTGTCATTGTCTGCCCATGTTCTTAAACTGTGTTGATGAATTTAAATCAATCAAAATGCATTAAAAATCAATTTAACACTATTCATTACATTACATTCATTCCGTTTCTCTCCATGGCCATTGATTCACAAGTGCCCAGGCAGAAAAATCTTATGAAGATCATATCAGATCTTACGAGGTCTTACTGACAATCGGATACGCTAAGATTCATACTGCATGGTCTTATGGGATCGTACAAAAATCTTACTGTAAGATTTAATATGTTTCTTACGATGAGAGGCTTCAGTAAATTTTGTATGATTCTTGCTATAAGATTTGTGTAAAGTCTGATCATCAGAATCTTTTAAGATCATATATGATCTTATACGATTATAAGGTTATGTGTTCTTAATGCAAGTAGTTTTTATAACGATAGTTTCTTGCATTTAAACAAATGTTTGAGCTGTTAAATATATTCTAATTTAAATGCTATATCTTTCAGTACATCTTTTGGAATCGAAAATAAATCTTCTATATAGACATCACATCACTCATCAAATTAATTTGACAAATGAACTAGGTTCAGCAACATGATCAAAGGTAAGAATCATATTTATATAAATAAATAATTAAATAATTTTTAATTGAGATAAAGCTGAACAAGATTATCAAAAGCTAAGTATGAATTTTATTAGATAATTTTTTTTATTTAGATGAAGATGAACAAGATCGTGGAAAGGTAAGTATGAATTTTATTAGATAAATAACTTTTTTTTGTTTAGATTAAACTCAACTAGATGATCATGGGTAAGTTATTAATTCAAGTAAGTATTCAGTTTTTGTTTCGTTTCTTGAAGGATGAACAGATGGAGGAAGAAGGGCGTTAGAAGATTGGGTAGACAAGTGGTGGATGAATAGAGCAAGAAATTCAACTGTAAACAATATTCGAAGATTATGTAAAATCTTGCATGAATCATACAGAATCTTACAACAAGATTACACTAGAATCGTACAGTACGATTTTATCAAAAATTCCCAGGTCAAAAAATCTGACATTAAGTCTTCTACGATCATATGAAATCGTACAAAAAAATCGTGGTTTCACAAATCTTACATCAATTCTTACTGTAAGATTCTTGTCAGATCCTATCGTCGCATAAGATTTTCTATAATCTTACAGTAGGGATTGATGTAAGATTTCTAAGACCACGATTTTTTGTACGATTCTTACCAAATCTTACAAGATCATACATGATCAGATGCAGAATCTTGTCCGATCTTAATGTGCGATTGTTCGCCCTGAGTATCTTACAATTCTTTTCATATTCTTGATTTCCTTGGTCTATCAGACAAGAGTCTTTTCATCTCGAACTTCAAGCAAGAATCTTTTTTTCCTTTTCTGTTAAAGGAATCTTGTCTAATCGATCAAGAAAAACAAGAGTCTGGACAGAATAGATCCAAGAACGTCGATTAATGAGATGGTATTCGTCATGGGAGTTCATTCATGGTATGCAACATGAATTATATTGTTATATAATGACAGACAAGGAATAATTCATTTCTCATATGTTCATACATTATTCGATATAGAACTGAAACAGCTTAATTTTTCATTTAGATCGGCTAAATATATGAGCAAACGAATGTAGTATTTTCCATGAAAACACCCTATCATCTAATCTTTTTGAGGACATAAAACATAGATGAATCTCGGCTAGCTTAGTCGCATGGTATACAGTATAAAATGTATCAGCTGGTTTGATTTTATTAATCAAAGATTTCTGACAGTCAAGATGACAAAACACGTAAGATAAAATAAAATTTTATGAGGGATTACAGACGATTTTGTTAATAGCGAACTCCTCATTTTTTCGAACTTCGTTGTTTTTTCAAGTTTTAAGATGATTAAAATGCAGACAGCATAAAAAGTTAGCCACCAGTCTATTCAATAAGCTGATTTTGTTCATTACAGCTATAAGGACAGCTAACCATAAATAATGAATTGTATAGATAAATAAACGATAAAACGACAGTATTCTTTAGAATCGTGTGGGAAAAAACGTTGTGCGAATAATCGTAGCAACGATTATTCGTTTTTCATGTGATATCGATTTCTTTGATGATTGACATTCGTAGCTTTGCACTGCATTTCACAATCGAGTGGAACTGGAATGCCATCTAGTTTATTGGGAAAAATATCGAGCTACTGAATCTGCTACTAGGTAACACTGCATATCCCAAGGCAGCCGAAAGACAGGGATGTTCGTCCTACTTCTACAGGAGAACATCCCAGGATTTTGAGTCTGGAATAGCATTTTCTCTATGCATCGAAATCTATCATTTCTAAAAGTTTCAACACTATCTGATAAGTCGTTCTTTAGAAAGCCCGAAGAGGAGATAAGAGAAGGATCTCCTTAACGAAAGATACTCAAAGAGACAAAGAATTACCCTATTTATATCCACTGAACAGGAAGTTAAACAAATGTTCGATTAAGATAGATCATTATCGAAATGTGTTCCATGTTTTTAGTTCTAATGCTCGATTTTTTATAAAGTGACATAATCTTCACTATGCTAATTAAATTTTCTACTATAATACTAAAGTATGTTGAACTTGAATCTTTAAATAATTTATCATGCATTTCGATCATTGATTTGAGCCAAGCAACTTCGTTTATGAAATAGTTCCATTGTTTCTTAATCCTCTATTATTTCTTGAGCATATTTTGGTTAGCATGCAGAATCTGTATGTCAAACACTGATTCATCCACATATTAGTATAAAATTTATACTTTCGTATTAGAAATAGATTTTATCGATTTCAAATTCTTTATTTGCATGATCATTCTGCTGTTTATTTTTCAATTTTATGTTCAAAAGTTTTTATTCAATAAGATTAAAGAAATAACAAATGAAATAACAAGAAAGACCTCAAGTGCATATAGTTATCTATATTAATATGAATGTTTTCGTAATAAAGTCTATTAGAACGAATATACATAAAGATATTTTGTACATTAAACCGAGAGAGAAAAAAACGATAATTAAAATAAAAACAACTCAACGAGAATAGCATCAATAACAATAACTACTGTTCATTAACATGATCACATTGAATAGCTGCTTCGGCATACATTTTTCCTGAGCATAACCAACAACCAGATCTTATTGGTTGATTAATAAAAGTCATTAATAAATCATGATCTATAGTAGAATTTTGTTGTTGAACTTTTGATGTTTGTGATTTTTGTTGTTCACCTAACATAGACATAACATATTGTCTTAACTTTCTTAATTCTTCTTGTTGCTTTTTTATTTTCATTAAAATCATATTAACTTTTGCTGTTCTATCTTCATCAGTCGTTGTTATTGATGTTCTTCGAACTTCATCAGTTAATTGTGAAATTTGATTATTTCCATTAATGTCATATTCAATAATCCAATCAGATAATGATTCTTGTTCTTCATTATTAACAGTCAAGATTGTTTGTTGTTCTTCAGTTTTCATTTTTACTTGTTTAGTTTCTTTCTTTTTCCTTTGTAATTTTTTATGCAATCGTTTTTGACGTTTTAATTCTTGTTTTTGTTCAGCATCGGCAGCATCAAGCTCACTAACTAACATAACACGTTGTTCATTAATATCTTCATCATTCTGTTCGATCAATTCATTAGTAGAAAGAGGAGGAAGAGGAAGTCGAGGTGGAGATGATACGGGTGGAAGCTCTTCTTCATCACAATTATCGATAAGAAAACCAGAACAAGGCACAGATTGTGGATCTTTTTGTAAAGTTGATTCACATTCGATGATCTGGTAAATAAATAGAACAAGAAAAAAAAATATTTGTTGTTGATAAATTATTATTGAGAAAAACATCGTTCAAAACTACTGGCAAGGATACCTGTCCATGTGTCAAATCGCTTTTCGACCGAATTGATGTTCATTTAATGAGTACTAGTAAGTAATAGAAAAGTCTAGAATGATTTACTTTTCTGGGTCTTCATTCTTGAGATATCGAAATTCCACTAGGTTTTTTAACAATACATTGTTGTTTCCTCAGATCACATGGACAATCAACTTTCAAGGTTCGATTTCAAACTTCATATAAACAAAGTTTTTAATGAGATTAGTTCATTTTTTGAATATTTCAGGATATAGAATACTAGAAAAGTTATAACCTGCAGAATGAACTAATCTTATTAAGAACTTTGTTTATGCAAAGTAGGAAGTCAAAACTGGAAAATTGATTTTTCATATGGCTTGAAGGGTACAAAAAATCCAGTAAAATTTCAACATCTCAAGAAAGAAGGTCCAGAAAACCAAATCATTCTAGACTTTTCTGTTACTCACTAGCACTCATCAAATGAACATCATCTTGTTCGAAAAGTAATTTAACACCTGGAGAGATTTCCTCGTGAGTTATGACTATCCGTGATTCAAATATGTTTATATATCTAATCAATGAACAGAAAGAATTAGATATATGAAAATATTTATTCTGTTTTTCATAAACTATAGTAAATGTTAAGAAGAAAGCTTGTCAATGCAGTCTCTTTGAGGCTAAAATATGAAATTCACATCTTTTTTTAGCCTCATTATATTAATATAAAATACGTTAATTATTTCTGCATTTTGAACAAAAGAACAAAATTAGTATGGTACCATCCTTTATGAAAAAAGTATGGAATATTGTTATTGTATGGACACACTCGATAATAGTAGAAATTTTGCAATAATTCAAAATAATTTATGTATATTTAAATTTTGAATGTCCAGAAATATAATCTGAAAACTTCAGTTCGTAATACTGTTTCGTTATTGAATTTTTAAAAAAAGATTAAAATCTAGCAAATACGAATTCGGTCCAAAATGCATTTCTTCTTTGTCTCCACTTACAGTGTAATTTTTTCAAAATAAAAATGGTTCTATTGAATAGCGTTTTCTCAACTCTATCTATTGTAACAGAAATTACTTCAAAAACTAAATTTTATAACTGCAGAAATTACTTTTCATAAGTAAAAAAGTTTCTTTTGGTCATCCTGTAAACGTGACGAATAACAGAATTTAAGTATTTGAATATGAACATGTCAAGGTTCTCAATCATTAAAATATCAGTGGTATATAAATTTCACTAACATTAATCAAGAGCTGTTAGGACAATCCCCACGGAATTCAAATGTGAAACACGATGTAGTTACTCCTGCTAATCACAAGAAGATTAGTTTTTTTTTCTATCTATTTTTTAGACGCATTTCTTCTTTACTTAATCCTCCAAAAACTGCATTAATGAAGTAGTTCATATATTATAGCGAAATGTTACCACTATACGGTCTTTGATCGTATATCAATGTCGAAGAGAAAACAGCAGACTTTGAGACTTCAGTGAACTTCTAGGACTTCAACAAATATCAACGATTTCACAGAACTTCATAAGACTTCATGGGATTTCAAGACTAAAGTCTCTGCTATTCTTCTCTGAGTCAATATCTGTCACAATCTGCAAGGCAAAGTTGCAAATTTCTATCCTATATACTTCAACACTTCTTTCAGATCGTGTTGCACAAAATTCAAATTTACATACGGATGATGGTGGTGTTGGTAATGATTCATGATTTGCACATTTATCATCTGTTTTCGTTTGCTGGTTAAGTTCATTATCAAATAAAATTTTTTCTATAGTAAAAATTTCATCATGATTATTAATATTGCCAACTAAATGAAAAGAACTATTATCTAAACTATCATTATTAGTTATAGTTGTTGTTGTAGGTAATTGTTTGTCAGCAAAACGCATTCGATCAAATCTTGATGAATTTAATAGAGATTTTTGTTGTTGTGGCATACGAAGCATTGTTTCTAGATATTGTGTTTTTTGTTCAATACTTTCATTCATTTTAGTTTTTTTTACTGAACGAATCCATGATTCACGTTCATGTGGTACAACCGTAAGTGATGATGGAAGTGGAGGTGGAGGTGGCGGAGAAGGAGAGGAAGGCAATGAAGATACTTGAGAAGACATTAATGGTTGGGGTTGTGTAGAAAAATAAGTATAAGATCTCGATTTTGATTGTTGATTTTGATAATGATAATCATTTCTATGTGAACGTCGATAAGAAAGATCATTATAATTTCTATTATCACGTCTTGATGTTGAATATTGATAATGATGTTTATTATTTTTCTTATATTGCCATTTATAATCATGATCATATCGTCTATCATTATTATAATTTTTTGTTCGATAATATGGATGATATCGATTATTATCATCCATTTTATTCATATCTAATATATACAAAAAAAAACACAAAGAGTCGAATAATTAGAATTTTTTTACACAGATCAAAAGCATGATGAATAATTTCTATTTCTCTATTATAGAGAGGGAGAGAGAAAGAGAGTCAAATACACCGAGTAAGAGAACAGATTACATACACATACATAGAAAGCACGAAAAAAAATAGTATTGCTATACAAATATCAAAAAAAAAAAAAAAAAAAAGAAAAAAACAACATTTGTTTATTTCATTCAAAGAGATTCTGTTGACGAGACAACAAATTAAAATCTATATACGAACAACAATTGAAGAATAAGAATAATGCACAAATTGAATTTTGTTTTGCTTTGTTTTGTAATTTTATAAATCATTTATTGAAACATAACGTACACGTTTATGTGTTGATGATGAATGTTCATCAATAATATAAGAAAAATGATATGAATTTTGTGTTGAAGGTAATTCACGTTCATAACGAAGATATAGACAATCATCATTTGTATTATTTAAAATTTTATTTGTTGTAATTGATGTTTTAGAAAGATTATTATTTATTGTTGATGAATTTTGTAGAGTAGATGAATTCGTTGGAATAATAATAGTTTGTTTCTGTATTGGATGTTGACTAGATAATAAATCTTTTAATGAAGATGAATTAAGTATTGAATTATTTGAAGATGATCGTTCTTTAGGATTAATAACAACTATTTGATGAGAAACAGTTTGAGAATTTAATGAGTTTGATGATAATAATGGAATTGAAGAAGTTATTGATTGAGTTTGATGATCAGTAGAAGATAATTGTGGTAAATGATGAATAGTATGTGATGATGATGGTGGAGTTGATGAACGAGAATTTATACCTAAAAGTTAAATTGTAATGAATTTAGAAAAATAAATTTTCTAAAATTCAAAATAATGAGTCGAGTGAAAACAATTCAACACTTGTGGAGAGTAGAGTCAATCATGATTAGAGGTGTAAGTCGATGCATTAATCGACGATTATAAAAATCTTAGGTTTTGATGATGGTGGTTGTTGAAATTGTGCGATGAATTTTTTAAAAAATTTTTTCATTCTGAGAAATTTTGAAATGAAAAAGAGAAAATGACAGTAGAGATCTTATTGACAAGAAATCAGATGGTAACATATCCAAAAATTGATTTGGAATGCCGGAAATTTTCAAAATTAAATATCTATTTTTGTGTCGCAGCAGCGGCTGGAATCTTCAATAAGTATTTTGAGCAACAGTGGTGGCAGCGGCTCAACCGATCGGCTGACATCTCTAATCATGATTAGATTTACTGAATAGATGAATGATTCCTATGAAGAATTATGTTTTTGCTTTTGATTATTCATAAAAATGACATATCTTCAAAACTATATGGAGCACGACAAAAGTTTTTTCGGTCGATTCTGTAAAAGTCATAATTTGAGTGCAAGTATTCTATTATCATATATAGACATATTTAGGATTATATACAAAGGTTTAGTTTTTTAGGTCTTTTGTATTGTTTTATTTTTTGATTTCTTGCATATTCGTCATTGTCAATATGAGTTTGAATTCTCCGCGAACAATTTCGCATTATGATTTTACACAAAATTATAATTTTTTATATCAATAATTAAATCGAATCTAGGACAAAAACAAGCCTATCTTACGAGGTTTTCAATCCCGCTCATGTTCCCTATGAATGAGTGAACAATCCAACACAATCTCCAACTTTGCTTTCTATGAGAGAGCTCGAACTCATATCGAAAATAGTATGTGACTAATGTGAAAAAAAAATGAGAAAATATAACGATTTATAAAATCTAAAAGCCTGAGATTTTGCACATAATCCTAAATATGTCTATGGATGATAATAGAATATTTGTACTTAAATTATGACTTTTATGAGAATCAAGCAAAAAAGCTTTTGGTAATGACCATGTCCATATGAATAAACTAGTTCCGATCTCAGTTCCAATGAGTTTTGAGAATAAGAATCTTTTATTTTTGGCAGGCTCCAACTCTGATCTTTTTAAAACACTTTGCAATGCTGATTTTTACTCCATTATAGATTTACCTGTGGAAATATTCTTCGCAGATGATCCTGAATAAGAAACCGACTGTTGTTGTCTACCAACATAAATCGTTTGAGATTGTCGTGATTGAGATGATGAACCATATGCACCATTAGCTAATGCAGCGAGTACAGCTTGATCTGTATCATTCATAGTTATTGATGTGTTCAACGATGTATTTTCTATAAACGATGTTTTTGATGAATTAATTCCATTTATCGATGATGTTTGTTGATCATAATTAAGTAAATTTCCATTTGGTCCATGATGTAAAATAGACATTGTTTGAGTTGTTTCTGTATCTAAGTTATATTTTGATGTCATTTGTCCAGATGGAATTTTATCACCAAATGTTTTAAGTGTTTCAGGTGAAAATTCTGAAAATGGTTTATTACTTATACGTATAATTGTTTTTTGTAAAACATCATCTGTATCTTTTATTTTTATATCGGGAAATGTTATTTCAGCTTCATTTAATGAATGTAATGTACCATTTAGAAAATCACGTAATTTTCTTAATCCAACATAAAATGGAAGTTTATCTTCAGCACGTGGTAATTGTGAACATCGAGCACTTGATGATGGCATTACAAAAACATGCTAAATAAAAATAATTATATATAAAAAACAAAAAGAACACCCATAGAAGATTATTATTACTAACTGTATCTGTTCCAGGAAATAACTCCGGTTGTTTACCATAATGAAAATGTTTATTACCTGCATAGACTTCATAAATGCCTAAAAAAGTTAAAGATAAAAGAATTTAATGAAAAATTCTTTTCTTGTTCAAGTATATAAGAAAAAAAGATTTCGAATATCTATTCAATTTTAAACAAAACTTTTCGTCAGAAATATCATCCATCTAGTTTTCATCAATTTTCAATACATTTCATATTTAAACAACAACTTTATTCTTCATTATCAAAATGACTTTTATGAAACTCACACATATTTTCGAATAAAATAATGAATGGAAGTTTCAATGAAGATTTTTGCGGGTTTTTTCTTACGTAGACTCTAGCAACTGAGAGGAGAAAGCAAACATCATTGGGTACTTTTCTATATCAAACAAGGACAGCAGGCGGCAGATTCCTTTCTCAGAGTTTCTTAGCAACGTGAAAAGGCGCTGAGTAGCATTAAAAATAAGAATTTGACCAGTCTTGGTTTGGTCCCGATCTAGAGAAAACTATTCCAGAATTTATTCGTATCACATCTAACAAAATTTCTTCAACACTCGTTTTTTTATTTAATTTGTCGATGACAAGGACTTTTTTGAGTCATCTGGCTTGAATTATGTTTTAATTGATATGATTTACCAAAACGATTCTCTTAAAACCATAGAATATCTAACTATAGTCTTTAGTTCTGATTGCGACAATTTTTTTTTCTCGTAGTTTCAGTCTCGACATACTTCTAAATTTTGGTCCGGCACATCTCTAGTAATGATACATTGATTTACCATAGTCATCATATGATCAACATAAAAAGCGTGAACTAATCAAGTTGTAACTATGGACGATAATCAATATCAATGTTTGAGAGCTTTTCGAGATATATAATAGTGTATTGAGACGTGCTATAGATATGCACAATAGGCGTATTTGCCAGTTAAATCAGGGAAAACGGAATACGAAAATGAAAAACAACGAGCGAATAATAATAAGGCAAACAAAAATTGAACACCAGCAAAAAAAACGGAAAATTTCTATTTAAACTGCAGAAATAAATAAGACAGACGGTTTCCCTGGCAAGTGATTTTTCTTGGAAAACAACTATAGTCTGCTAGAGATTTTTCACTTAATGTATTTTGTATTAGTATAAAGAGGCTAAAGAACACATGTTAGATTCATATTTTAGGCCCAATGGAGTTGCCTTAACAAGTTTTTTTTTTTTATGTAAACATACCTCGTCCATTAAATGCAACAATTTTTGGTCGATACATTTTCATTTTTTGCATTAATACTTCAGCTCCAGCGGTAATTTCGTCTCTAGAATACATAACAAAAAAAAAGCATTAAATCAATTTGTTTGTTCTATTTATCTTTACTTGGTAATATCTGATCCAGCTTTACTTGGTCGTTGTACAATATGTGTAAAACCAATTCCATATTGCGGCATACGAAAATCATTATCAGCAGTAAATGCAGTTGGAATTAAATCAGACATATGAAGTAATTTCCAGAAATGATTTCCTGGTCCACCATAATGATGTCCTTTATGTACAGCATAAAGACTTGGATTAATACCGACCTAAATAGATCAAAGTTTTTTTTTTTTTTGTGTGTGTAAATTAAAAGATAAGATAAAATAATATAACATACAAAAACAATATCAAGATTAGGTTGAAGAATATCTGAAAGAAGACGTTTTGCTAATTCTTCTTCTGTTGTACCGTCAAAACGATTTGGATTTGTTGTTGGATTGGAAGATTTACGTTTATTATTAACTATTGTTGGTGGTTGAGGTGAAGAAGGTATTGATGTTGATGGTGAGGGTGAAGTATTTTTTGTAATTATTGTTGATATTGATGGAAGAGGTGATGATGGAGAAGGTGAAACAACATTCATTATTGGTGAAATAATTGTATTTAAAGGAGTAGATAGAGAATTTGTTTGACATGAACGAATTTCTGTATTTGTATTTTGATGTTCTTGTGTTTTTTGTTCACTCTCTATTGTTGATATTGTTTCACGTTTGAGTGATTCTCTTAATTTTGATAGAAATACTTCAGCTACTTCATCCGAACCTAATGTACTTTTTAAAGCACTAAATTGAAAAAGAAATGATAAGAAGAATTTTATGAATAAGTTATTTTTAAATAAATATATAAATACTTGAGATCACCGCCTGCTTCTAAATTCTTCCTAAATGTTTGCATTAAAACAGTTTTTACACTATCTAATGCTTCATCTAGAAGTTCTTTTGTATGACTATAAAATAAAATTTCAATATTTTATATATTTAAACAAAACAAAACTAGATAGACGTTACTTTTCAGATGCTGTTGTCGTTGTTGTTGATAACATAGATGGAGTAGGATTAACATCCATAGGAACATGACTAAAAAAAATATAATTCAATTTATTATCATCAATGTGATTGTCTGAGAAAAATTTTCCTTGTTTTTCATATACAAGAGCAGAGTTGTCAATAATTTCTAGAGGTAGAGAAGAGGGTCTGAAAATTCGGCAAGAATTATTTTCATTCTCGAAGTACTAAAAGTAGTGGCAGGAGAGGGAGAAGAACGAAACCGATCGTGACCCGACTAGACATCGGCGTGACTGCAGTGACTGCCGTGAGTCACGATCATACTCACAATGGCAACTATCGTGACCGTGACCGTAACCGTGACCAAAAAATATTGGTCACGTCGATGTCTAGACCCGACCCCTCCCACAGCAGATGACCTGCTACCAGGTCGTCTCTTCTCAATTCTATTCATCTCACAACGACATTGTCTACTTATTTTTTGTTTCATTTTGTGGCCAAAGAAAGAAAAATGATGTTTCAAAGTTCAGGTGCAGTCCGAAGTTACCCAGAAGCTGTAAAAAAGATTGGCAGAAAGTTGGATGTTTTAGGGAGGACGTGTGGAAGCTCTCTAATTGGTAATTTTGTATAGCAAGCAAATGTGAAGATCAAATATGATAGAAAATATAATTTCAGTCGAAATATGAAAAAAAAGTGGACAGACAACAATCTAATCAATGCTACGTGGTTTTATTTTTATCTCAATCGACTGGTAAGACAATAGCATATTCACAATATTGACTTTTGTTATTAGGAATATTAAAGTTTTACCCATTATCAATAATTCAGTTTTACTAAGGGTAAGAATACATTAAGCTCCCCCTTTCTCCCAGAATAAGAGATCATGACTTTCTATTGTGGAAATTTTCATCATTTCTCTAAAAGTGGCTTTCTATTGCTAGCTAGTTTTTACTAACATTTACTTAGAAAATCAAGGATTTTTCAGGAAGTTTTTCTGGTATTTGAACAAACGTTTTTAGCAACCAAATGCGAGAAAACGAGGATTTTTAGATGCTAAAATCCTAGAAAATCAGCTGAATTTTCAATAAAGCTTTTGAAAAACCCATGGCCTTCTATTCTAGACAGGAAGAGTACGCAAATCAGTACAACGAACTTGACACTATTGAATTGATAAGAATCCTTAGTATAACGACAGTCAGATTGGCGCAAAGTATATCTTATTAATTATCAAAGGTTAAAATCATTTTTCATATAAGTTAGAGGCGGCAGAACGTATATACTCGAGCCTCATCCGAATTTACTGTGTTAGACAAAGACTAATCAAATTATGGAATGCTTTTTAAGAGTATTCTTATTTTTTCGCAAAGTAAAGAAATACAAGACGGTGACAACTGGATTTTATTATCTAGTCTTAGTCACTAGCCGTATCTTCTTTTATATTGACATCAGTTAATATCAAGACATAGATTGAATTAACAACAGATCACTAGTTCAAATCGATTAATAGTGATTGTTTCAATCTAACTGCTTTTCTTCACTTGTTATTACCATTGAGATGATTCTTTTTTTTCTGAGTAAATATACAACTCCGATGTTTTCTACCTGAAACTATGAAATTTAGTTAAGCTTAGTGTTGTCTTTACTAAAAGTATTGACCCAATTCAGTTTCAGATTGAAACTCATGCTTCTCATTTCACGTTTTATCTACATTAAAAAAGCAGACAGAGATTGTGTCTTTCCATGAAATGCCTGATTTGTTGATAGGCTAACACAAGTGATAAGTTGCCCAAGTCGTAAAAATCTTGAAAATATGAAGCATAATTTAGAAGTTGATCTGTTCGATTCGTCATTTGCATCTCATCGGCTTCTGTCAATTTATGAAAATTAAAAAAAAATATTTGAAGTTTGCTAAGAAGAATCTCAGAAAAAAAAATACGCAAATTATGAAATCTTCTAAAAAAATCTTGTGTTTGTTTTACCGAATCAGTCAAAAATAGACCTCAAAATTAAAGAGGTCGCTCCTTGCAGAAACTCAATGAATAATGTGTAGTTTATATCTTATCTCTCTCAAGGACTATATCAATCAGAATTTACATAAATAGTAAATCTTATGATTCATATGGTATCAATCGATTTTCTATTAGTCGAAGTCTGTACCGGAGATGTTCATGGCGGCGCTGCCGCGGTGGCGGTGGCAGCAAGTTTCTTAAAAAACATTGCGACAGCGGCACGTTTATTTTACAGTTCATCGCAGCAGTGGCACGGTAACATTATTTTAGACCAGTGCGACGCGGCAGCGGCAGATTTTCAGCCGCGATGGACATCTCTAGTCTGTATCTGGATCGATCGCTTTTGTGTCAGTTTCCCACTGATTAAATTTAAAAACTCAATCGGCTAATTATCAATTGGTTCTCGACTTTACTGATAAGACTAGTAAAATTTTTTCTATGAACAGAAAATCTGACGGAGAATCTCGTCAAAGTTCTGATCAGCTTGAAATTACAAACCAAAATCATCCGAACAAGAAGATAAAGCAGAATTTTGTATCATAAAAATGATATGAAATATCTTGACACATTCTGTCATTCTAGTTACGTTCAACTCAATGTAAACGAACTTTTTTTAAGATGAAGGCAATCTTTGGCTTAGTATAACTTCATTTTAAAGCGTTCTGCCACTCTTGATATGGCTATCGGTTTGGATAGAATTTTCAACTGTGTATATGTTGATTGTTATTATAAGAATCTTCAATAACAGACAGCTTAGCAAAGATGTGAAATCCTGATTTTTTGGTCTCAAGAGGAAGGCTCCCAACTGATTATAATCACTTTGAGGTTTGAACTCTTGGTTTATTGCTGCGAAGATACTACATTTTTACAGTATTTTTTTAATACAATGCTGTGATCCTCCTTAGGAACACTAGGAAAATTCGTTCTTGAAGACAGACCTTAATCAGAATAATTTATTGTAAAAGTTTACGGTCTTCTTATTTGCTTCTGTTCCGAAATAAGAACATTGGAATTCCATTGGTGTATATGAATGATATAAAAGATATACCTTTATCATAGTCATTTCTTAGAATAGAAACAACAAAAAGATCTTAAACTCTCACAATAAACTATTTTCTCTATACAAAGTTTCAAGTCGTAATTTGAAAATCAGTTTTTCCAATATTTTTGAGAGGAACTATAATATTGACTTTAAACATAACACAAAAATGCACTATCTTCGCAGTAATAAGCCAAGGGTTCAAACTCTTTTCAAGGTATTCATAGTTCATTAGGATCTACATGATGCACATAGTCCTGGTTAAAAAAGCGAATACTTAGTTGAGGGACTTTCTACATTCTATCCATTAATTTTAATAAATGTAAAAAAAAAAATTTTCTTATTTTAAAAAGTGAATATACTTAGTAGTTGTTGTTGGTTGAGAAACATGATTTTTATTTATTTGATGATTATTCCATTGTTTATCATCATTTAAATTTGATAACATATTAGTAATATGAGGTTGAATTGAAGATTTATATTCCTGTCTTATTGGATTATTTAATGGTTCATGTAATGAATTATTATAACCATTTGTATATTCATTATTATTATTATTATTATTATTATTTATTAAATTCGATGAAATATTATTTGAATTTGTACTTGTTGTTAATTCACCATATTCATTTTGTTTAAATTTAACTACTAATTGTTGATTTGTTTCAGTTTCAATTGTATTTCGATTTCTAAAAAAAAGAAATTCAATGTATATAGATATATATGTAAACATAGATAATTACGCAATAGTTGAAGATAAACTATCACGACGAATTTTAAGAATTAATGAAGGATTCGATGATTGTTCATTTATGATACAATGATTTTGTTTTATTCTTTAAAAATAAAAATAAAATATATATTTAATAATGAAAGATAAAAATTTTTTACTCGTTCATTTCTTGTTGACTAGATTGTTGATCATTATTTAGTTCAGATATATTATTATTAAGATTATCGTTTGTAAAAGATTTTTTACTACGTTTTGCTGGACGAGATGAGACATCTGATGAATTTGAACTAAAATTTAAAAAATTCTCAATAGAAAAATTCATTATCATTTATTCATACATTATATATTCATCATCATCATCATCATGATCAATAAATGGTTTTTTTAATTTAACACGAAGTATCGATGGTGATACTGTTGTAATACTAGACGTTTCATTATTTGGAATAAATGATGATTGAGAAGTATCATTTAAATTATCTGTTGATAAACGACTATTTATAATATAAAACAAACAATTGAATTGATATATAAGAAAATATAAACTACTTACGATGTATGAGGAAGAATAATATCATCGTAAGTTTTTATTTTTAGAACAATGGGTGTTGGTGTTGCTTGTGTTCTAAGGAAATGAAATGAAATATGTTAAGTATTATAATTGAGAAAAAAAGAGAGATCACTTTTTATAAATCAAAACGAATAGAAGAAGAAATTTTGTTTATTCAATAGAATTGAAATATGTCTTGTCATTTACGAAACTTTTAAGAGAATAATCAGTTGAGTAGAATGAGTATTAATATATGTTATCACATTCTGAAAACTTTCAAAGAGATTAAATCTTAATTTCTTGTTGATGAATTTAGGGATAAATATAAATATAAAGTTCATTAAACAAATATTCTTACGTTAATTCATCATTCATTGTGTTAATAATTGATTTTTTTTTCTTTTTATCGATAATGTCAATTAATATTCATTCAATAAAAATATAAACTTCTTCCGATTTGTTATTTACAATTAAATAAAATTATCATTTTAAATAAATAAACAACATAAAAATTCTGAATTAAATGATTGGCTAATCTTTAAGGTGAAAAAGGAAAAATAAATTAATTGATCTTTTTTCATAAGAAAAAACACGTTAATTTCTTTTTTTCTTGTATTCCATATTTTATTTTCATGTCATATTATGAACCATAACCAATAATTGACGAACTCTAAATATATGTATAGATGTGGTTTTATGATAGATGGTGCTCAGGTTTATGAACAAGAGAATTCATTTTTTTTATGTATTCAAAAAAAAGTTTATTTTTAATTTTCTGTGTATTAAATAGAAATTTTTTTAAAATAAATTAATAAGTATAAAAATCTTTTGAACAAGTTTATTATCTTCATAAATTGATAAATAAATTCAAAAAGTGGTACGCTACAATCTTCTCTTTATTTCATATCTCGATAATTAGTGATTGAATTCAAACTAATGAATTGACATGTTTTTGTTTTCATCACGTAAACCATCATGGATTTTATGTCATATTATTATGAATTAGAAAAGCTTATCTTTTCAATATATCACCAACGAAACACAAATATTTGCTAGAATAGCTATTTGTTACTGTCTTAATACTGATATCAAAAATTATAAATATCATGTATTATTTACTAATGATTATTACACATTAATTGATGATATCAAAAAATCATTAAAATGTTACGTTAGGTCGTACGACATATGTGATTGTTATTTACTCTTGAAATAGTTTCTATTCAGTAATACATAATTTTAAAAACAGAAATGTTTTCAAAAGTTTGTGTTTAAAACATTATAGATTTAATACAATATATAAGAGAATAATTATATCTTTCGAAACAGATCGTTAAATAAGTTCATATGAAAATTAAGTAATATCCAAATAGATATCATCAACATACAAAAAAAAAGTTATCATTGACATCATATCTTATCTAGTTAGTTATTTATATCCGATGCAATCATGAATGATTCAGACAGAAGTGAGGAAGTAAAAGCAAAAAGTTTTTATTGAATTTATTTTGCATACGTTTAAGGCCCCGAACAGACTGAAAAAAATAAAACGAATTAAGCAACGTGATTGGTCTATTTCGATTTAAATCGTCTTTTTGAGACGATTTATTCGTTAATTCAGTTTTAATTCACTTTGAATTAGTCAGTATGTTTGGGGCCTTAGATTCATTCAATCGTTTATTTCATTCATTGATGGCAGTAGATGCAAAGAAGAATGACATTGACATTAATCGATATTTTAAGTAACTCGCTTTTCTCAGCTGATAATGATTCATTTTTATTTGAGCGTCGCCGTTTAGACTGACTCACTCGGAAGCACGCGCATTGCGATCGTTGCGTCCTCTACCATAGCTTTACTAATATTGCGTGCAGCATGTAAGTAAACACATGCTTCCTTTCTTTCAACCAATGTTTTTTCAAGCAACAATCAAATGATTGCGATTGTTAATCTACGGAACGTCTGATGATCATTTTTTTTTATGTATATAACAAGTTGGTAGTTTTAGATCATATGTTTTATCTGATCTTGTTCTTCTTCAAATTGATAATAAATACAACCCTAATGAAAATAGAATAAATCAAATAGATGATATAAATTTTTATTTTTATTTTAGATATACATTAACTTTGATTCTTTTCAAATTGATAATTAACGATAATAATATTAAAAAATGACTTCACGAAAGAAAGTTTTACTAAAGGTTATTATATTAGGTGATTCAGGTGTTGGTAAAACATCATTAATGAATCAATTTGTTAATCGAAAAGTAAACATATTTCAATTCAAATTTATTTTTATTTATAAATGATTATTTTTAGTTTTCAAATCAATATAAAGCAACAATTGGTGCCGATTTTTTAACTAAAGAATTACAAATTGATGATCGTCTTGTTACCATGCAGGTTATAATTTTTTTTTTGTCTTTCAACAAGTAATTGAAAACACAAAAATATATTTTTTTTTTGTCTTTAGATTTGGGATACAGCAGGCCAAGAACGTTTTCAAAGTTTAGGTGTTGCATTTTATCGTGGAGCTGATTGTTGTGTCCTTGTTATGGATGTAACATCACCAACATCATTTAAATCATTAGAAAGTTGGAAAGATGAATTTCTTATTCAAGCTGGTCCACGTGATCCAGAAAATTTTCCATTTGTCGTAAGTTTTTATTATATATTTAGAAATAAAAAAAAAAGTACAAACAATCAGCTTTTAGGTTATTGGAAATAAAATTGATTTGGAAAATCGAATGGTAAAAATTTTCTATTGATTTTTTTCTTATATGTTTTAGTTTTTTTTT